GTATCTTTGTCGATGAATATTAGTCAGATCTAAACTACTTAACCTTTCATTTCCCATTCTGTTTCTCAGCCATATCTTTAAACGACGTAATGTACTAAAAATATATATAATATATATATATATATATATATTATGATACAATTTATTTTGTAAGAATAATATACTGAATTAAAATTAGAAATATAATATAGAAAATATTACCTGAAAGATCTTTCTACTGAACATAAAGTTTCAGATAAGGTAATGGCAATTTGTATAGTCATACATACATACATACAACTTCACAGAACATAATCTAGAGAAATGTTTCATCGAGGCGATGAATCAATGGACAAATAAGATAAACTATAATTGTATAATAATTTATAATATATAGTAGTAAGATTAGATTAAATTGGCATTCAACGATTATTCATGTTTACGATAAAAATTGTCAAAATCAAAATTAAATTTCCATAAAAGTATCCGTTGATTAATGTCCGGTATTTAGGGGTTTTCCTATATGAAAGTAGTGAAAATGTCCCTGTCCCATAAAAACGTCCGCTATTCGGAGGTGTCCGCTATTTAGAACTGTGTTAGTTAAGGGAGATTCCACTGTATAGCTATGCATCCCTCTCCGTGAAAATTTTTTGGATCTACTTTGATCACATGAGCTTCCCATTAACACGTTGAAAAATTAAATAATTACAATATGATGTTTCTTCTACACGAGTAATTCATGACCATTCTAGTACTTAGGATATAGTGAATTATTTTCTAAGATTAGTAACAAAAAACAAAAATACAAATGAATAAAAGAAAATTAATTCTTTTGAAAAATTTGACGGCTATGTTACTTGATTAGCTTTTCAAAGCTTGGATTGCATTTATCGTTGATTATCACTGTCCGGATATGAGTTGGTTTAAATTTTTTAAAAGTGTATGTTTTTTTGCGTTTGTTTAAAATGTATTGTGTTTGTAGACTCGCCTTTGATTTTCTTTTAAAAATTTGAAAAAGTATTTTAATTATATACAATTATGCTTATCTCATAAATTATAGTTGTAATAAAATTATAACTTTTAAGATAAGTATCATAAATTGTGACTTTAATTGAGATGGTTATCAATGGAAATTTAAAATTAATACTCGTATATTATTTTTAAACGTTTGTATAAACGTAAATTTTTAAATATCATAGTATATTTTACTATTTTTACAATGTTTATCTTCATTAATATTTAATATGTTTTCAATATCAAAATTTTTACTAATACAATTCTAAAGAAAAAATAGTTTTTGTACTTATAATAATTAACTGACCTTAATACTCATAGAAACACTATTTTTTTTTTAGATTCCAAGTGAAATGTGAAATGTATTGGTTTTACCAAGATGTATGTTTTTTAAATTATTAGGTAAATTATATTTCTTGTGTTTGTGTTCAAGATTTCGATTAGACGGATTGCTTCGACCATTACAATAAGAAATTTTTGGGAAAAATTTAAAAAATTACAAAAACTGAACTGAGATCCATAGGCGCACATTTAGTATAAAACTTGAAAGTGCTAGATTATCCACCCCAAGGTGATCCGTGGGAACAAAGCCACCCTCCACACACCCTCTATAATTACTTGGCACAAATGTTTTAGTTTCACCATTTAATTATAAATAAAGCAATTTTTTATATTACAACTAAATATTATTAATAAACATAACTATTTTTTTTATCAATAAGCAATAAAATCTGTACACGATAAACAATACCAAAATCTTAAATGGTATTCCAGCAATAAACTTAACCATCATCACAGTATCATATGCATAGGTAACATAAACACAATACCCAATACTCTTATTGCATACATGCATGTATAACGTATGTTTGTTTATTAGTGTATTACAAATGCAAACTAAAGTTTTTACCACAAAATAAACTGAAGGTATTAATTTAGAACTTGGGGGCGCTAAGCACTTCCCGGCACCTCGTATGTGCGCCAATGACCTAAGATGGTTGCAAAGTAAACTTATATACAGAAGTATACTGCTATTCATCTATGGATGAATTAGTTAAAATTAATGTTATAAGACAGTGGTGCTTAACCCACGACCCGCGGGCCACATGTGGCCCACGAAGGTATTATATGAGGCCCATTATGAATTTTCTAAAATAAAAAATGTTTTAAAAATTTATGAAAAAAAATTATAATTATTTATTTTCATATATTATTTTTATTTAAATTATTCCAAAAAATATAATTATGTATACCTCAATTCATAATATTTTCAATATACAGTAAAAGATAAGAAAACAAGTCCAAAACATAAGATTATTTTAGTACTTTTTTACTTTGTGGCCCGCTTAAAGATAATTGTTTAGCAAAGTGGCCCGTCAAAGGAAAAAGGTTGGACATCACTGTTATAAGATATAAACTTATTTAAGAGAAAAATTTACTCTAAGAGTAGTAACTATTTTAGAATAATTATTTCAATATCTGCATGTATACGATTACTACAATAGTGACAATAATTATTGCTTACAATTTTATTAAATTATTAAAATAAAGGTGTATTAGTGTGAGCATAGAGTTATACTTGTGATATTGTTGGTTTATCAAATATATTTTACACTCCTAATAAAAGCATGAAATGACCCCTATATTTCATTGTTACAACAGTGGTCTAATGGTGGACATATTTTGCAGTTCTATTTTTTAACTGAAATGGTACCCTTATGTGACTTGAAACATGTACTGAGCGGCGTCGAACTTCTGAAATTCTACTCAGGCCAAATAAAAATACTACGGCCTCAAGCCAACATTTTTACTTAACATAGAATAATTTGTGCTCTCAAATTAAAAGTATTTAAATATGATTCACATTAGTTAAACACGTATCAACAGAGACCTTACCGTACCATTGCATAAAATAATTTATTTTGTGTTTTAATTTAGATAATTCACCTTTGAACGTTTTTGTTCCGTGCATACACGTAACGATCTGACAGAGTTCGTCCGACATTCCTTGTGAGAATATTGCAAACCATAGATCGGCGGCCCTTTGATCCTTGATTTCATTTTAAAAATGTGATCAGGCCGCGGCCTGATCTATACATAGTTTGGCGCCACTACAGTGTTTATATTATTATTTTATAGACATTTCATAATTTTAGAAATATTTTATGAAATTTGTACTTAAAATATAAATTTAAATTTTTCCAAATTATAGATGTCCCCCCCCCAAAGTTAGCACTTTAAAAGTTTAACCTAATTTAATAAAAAAATTTAGTTAATTTGCTGTATCATCTATTTTCAGAAATATAAATCGATACTCCTGCTGATTTCTTTCACCCGAAATTGTTTTTTCAAGAGTAATGATTAAGAGTTCGGGACTTGTTGCATTTGCATAGAAATATAATAGTCTAAGATATAAATTTGTATAAAGTCATTGACTGAAATACAAAAATTTTAATTGCATATTTCATCGTTTTCTGAGCAAAACCCATATTTGACAAATTTTGGGCAATTTAATTGTTATTTATAGCATATAGTTTTCGTTTGATGTTAAGTAAATTTATTTTAAAGATTAACATTATTTTTTTTTTTACTCTCATGCATCGGTTAATATACCTAATCATAGAACGAGTCAGAACAGGGAAACAAGGGAAATACCTAATTTTTTCTTGCGTATACTATCGGTTATCATAAATCATTTAGAATGTACAAGGAAAATAAGTATTCAGTTGTTTTTCATTATAGGAGAAAATGAAAATATAATATACACAGTAATATTATGTTTATAGTACTAATGTGGTCAAAACATAGTCCACATTTAAATTAATAAATCAAATTTTTTCACTGTAATTTAATAAATATTACAAGTGATATTATACATTTATAATTTGAAAAAATCTATATCATTGTTATAGAACCATTTTAAAATAAATTTTTATCAATAAAATGTTTAAATAAGTTAAGATACAATTACTTTAAAATATATATGCTACATGCTTCTAAAGTTATGATTGTAATTTTTATTTAAAACACCAAATAACTGATTATGAAACAATCCCAATATCATATTATGAGTATTACTTTCTATAAGTGTTTTTTATATACAACTTATTATAACTTTCAACAGTCAAAATAGAAAATTTAAGTAATTAAAGTTTAAGTTAGTTTTTTATTCACCACTAAACTATATTATGGTTTTATATTTTAACTTGGTATGATAGAAAGATGAAATATTATTATTAATATTAAACAGATTGGAATAGTTAACATCTGGCCATATTTTATAATTTCAAAAAGTAATTTGAAATATAATTAAGAAATTGTTCATATCGTGAACTTATTACTATGATTTTTTTTTTAAATACATATTAGTTTCTTAACAGCGCATAAATTGAATTGTATTACAGTATATTGGTTTAAATTAGTATTTTGTGTTATATTACATTTAAGGAAATATATTTTCTGGTTATTTTATGTTTTTAAAACAATTTTGGTTTGATAAAATCTGTTTTTAATAATGATTCACAAGTGTGTATTGCATGTAAATTAAAAATAATGATTTCTATAACCTATTTCATAATTTATTTGTTTAAAAAATGTATTTAAGTGTATTTAAATTTAATATTTCGTATTTATTTGTATTTGTAAGGATTTTTTTTATTTAAGTATAAGATTATTCAATATAATTGATCATAAAATTAAGATTTTCATAAATTATTTTTATATGTTTAAAGTAATATATTACATAGATAATGTAAAACAGAAACTATGAAAATTGAAATAAAATCAACAATTGATGCAAAAAAAATTTACAATTTTATTAAAATAAAAATATAATAATAGTAATAATTGTAATAATAATGATAATAAAACACTTAATTTAGAATTGTTAAAAATTAAAAAAAAAATCTTTCTATGTTCCTTATATAATTAATTAAAAGTTAATTTTACTGCTAAAATATAGTAAAATATACTATATTTTTATATATTATACTATATTGACAAAGAAATATAAATGGATAAAATAATTAATAATATGTCATAATAATAAAAGAAAACAGTAAGGAAAATATTTTAATTAATTGGTATGTTCAACAGCTTACAGATTTGGACTGTAGCATACAAATCGGAATCAAAACATTTTTGACATTTGGAGCCAATACTCCAAGTAGGTCGCGTTGAAGGCAATACCATTTTACTCTTTTCCACTTTATGTGTCTTGTATTTTTTGCTCAGAGTATCCATCATGATTTTCAAGTCAACAGTGGCTGTTGGAATGTTTTTAATATACTACAACAAATACAAAATAAATTTAATTAAAATGAGTCTAAAATAGTAACAGTAATTTAATATTTTTTAAAAGCAATTTTTATCAAATATTTAAAATGAGAACAACTTTAAAAATGAATTCTTCTTCTTCTTTTTCTTTGCATTTTACCCAACTATTTGAGGTCAGCTACCCTTGTCCTAAATCTCTGCTCATCTCGATTATCTACATCCTCTACTTACACATCAACAACAACAACCCTCATATCATTCTCAATTGTATCCAACCATTTATTTAGGTTTTCCTTTCTCCCTCCAACGATTATTTTTATAACAGCTCTTACTGCTTTTGTTTCCTCTCACCTTATCACATTTCCAAACCATCTCAGTCTATTTTCTTTCACCTTGTCCACTATACGGATGCTACACCAATACTACCTCTTGTATATTCGTTGCTTACTCTATCTTTTCTTGTTATTCCATTCATCCATCTTAGCATTCTCATTTCCACAACATTCATATTCTGTTCTATTTTTCTGTCAATTGCCCAAACCTAAACTATATAGCATAGTTGAGTCTCACTATATTCCTGTAAAATTTAACTTTCTAGCTTATTAGGATTTTTTTATTGCATAAAACACTCGACGCTTCTCTACATTTCATCTTAATAAATTAATATAAAAAGTATATATATAATATAATAAATATATAAATTAAATAAATCTTAATAAGAATGAACATCATATGAACATTCACGTTATATCGTAAATAAAATATTAAAACTAATTATCATGGAATATATGGTATAACTAAATGTAAGAAAGAATTAGAAAGCTGGAAACAAATTATTCAAAAAGTAATTTATAATTATTATTACTAAGTAACAATGCCACAAAATATTAATAAGGTTATTGAAGTTCATAAATCATAATACTTAAAATACATTTATAGTACATATATATTATTCAAAATATAAAACAATTTCAGTGCAAAATGTAATTGTCAATGATTAAGTTAGAATTATAAGTATGTTTTTGATTTATTCAATTTCTAAATTTTAAAAATTTGACAAATATATATTACTTAAATAAGCAAAAAACTATAGTTTACCATAGTTAATGCTTAAAACAATAAAAACTATAATTTTATGAAACATTTATTTCAACTTTTAAATGATTTATTCATGGACAGCATAACACTCATTCACACAAAATGTAGTTGTTATATTAAAAAAAAAAAATGAATTATATATATATGTTACTGGTCATATGGATAAACCGGTATTTTGTAAAATGCCAAAAATCACTTGGCAATATACATAATACAAGCTTTACCTAGGTATTATGTATAATGCCAAACGTGGAGTAGGCAATATGATGAAAATAAACAAAATTGGGCATCGCCATTTACCTATAATTTTACTTATCATTTATAATAAATTTGCGTGTACGATTTAATGCAATAAAGATTAAGATTCTTTTACTACTATAATAATAATTCTGAGGTACAATATTGAACGTACTATTAATTTTATTATAATATCGTCATTTTCGTGTACGGTTATGGTGTTGAAACTATGGATACGAATTATATGACGTCAAATTTTTATAACAAACTACAATTTTTTTTAAAAATTAGATCTCTAATACTAGTTTTTTATTTGAGGAACAATATGAGTTGATAAAAATTCAATTCACAAGAATTAGCCAAAAGTTTTAAAAATGTATTTGTAAGTCCAAGTGTCAAAATAAAAGTGTATTTGCCTAAAAAATAGCATTTTATGCACATAAAAATGTCACTTTTCTACAACATGTTACAATAAGTAAATAATAGTTTAAGTAAAATATTTATATAATAGTAATAATATAATAATAGATAAAAATTAAATTTTGTCTGTAATATGAGTAGTATATAATAATTATAAGAATTTTAATATAATATAACATAAGATAAAATATTTTGTACTTTGTCGAAAAAAAGATTGGCATTTTGCATAAAGCCTGGGTATTTTATAAATCACCTAGGTGAAATGTAAAATAATATTGAAAATTATATAATTTATTTACATTGTCTAAAATGGGTCAGCAATTCGTATAATAACTAGGCATTTTGCAAAATATCTGAATAATCCATATTGCTAGTGATATATATATATATATATAAATACAAATAAATGACAAAAATCACTGTAATAACAAAAATATGAAATCCCTTTGCAACAAGAAAAATACAACAGATTGCAATACATCTTAAAAAAATACTTACAAGTTTCTTTTTAGGATCTTGTAAAGCTATCCAGAGCCATGTAGCAACTGAACAGTACAATTTATTGCTACAAATTTTACCACAGCATGTTTTTAACATCTTTATAAGATCTTTAACTATATCAGCATTAACAGTTCTCTGAAACAACATAATTCAAAAATATATATTTTAGAATGGTTTGTATACAAAATTTTGAAATTTAACAAATATAATAATTGTAATAAGTATAATTATTAATTCCTGTACTTACCACCCAAATATGCCATGAAGTTTCTTTGTATCTTAGTAAATTAATAAGAACACGAATTGCAGGTTCTCTGGCCTCAATACTAGGTTGTGACTGATTAGAATACTGCAAAAAGTGAAAAATGATGTCCACTATGATACCTTCAGCAGTTTTTAAACACAATTCTTTTGATAGTGATGTACAGATTTCTAAAAAATAAAATATTGCACTTAATAAATATTTGTGTACAATAGGTTAAAGAAATATTATTTTCAAGAATTAATTATCTTGAATTAAACATGGTTTTTGTTAGTTTGTACTGTAAAATCATTTTATTTCAAAACATATATATTTTATATTATGACATTTGAATGAAATTCTTCTGTAATATGTAATTTTTTTCATAAATCAAACATAAAAGATATTTATCCTTTTTTTTATAAACCCATTTATTAACAATGTGATAAAATATTGTATTAATTTTAACACGTTTACCAATTTACTAATGTTTGTTCATAATTTATTTTTATTTTTGTATTATAATAAAATTCAAAATATAGTTAAATACTAATATAATAATAATGGTAATCTAAATAATTTTTTCAATAAATAATATTCATATAACACTACCTAAATTCCAAAATACTGTAGTTAATTCTCGATAAGAATATTCGTTTTTCTTTTGTCGGTTTAAAACATCAACAGCGTCATTATGTCTCTTTCCCAATGTAAGAGCACCCTTTTTGGGTACTCGAATTGTTTCTCGTCTGCACTGATATTTTTTTCTTACACTATAGCCTCTCCATAGGGCCTATAAAACATTTCAATTGATTAGTGTTATTTATGAATTAAATCCATAATTCGCTAAAAAATTAAAGTATGTTTTTTTATGATTCATAATTACCTGTATCAATGTAGCTGCTCGCACAAGTTTAATTATTTGTAATTCATACTTGATCAGAGGTAATTTCTTTCTTACAAAATATCCTCTGACAGCTGCTTGAATTTTTAATGCAGCCATATTCTGCTTCTGTAAAAGTTTACGGTTCAACATCACGTTTCTGGTCCAACTTTGCAACTTAACAGCAGCTCGCATTTCCACATTTATTTCAAAGAGCAACGCATGACCAGCTAACAACTGTTTACACTGTGTGTATTCAAATCTTTAAAAAATATGACGTTTCCGAAAATTTTTGCAATCAAGCAATAAGGTAAGTTACTTTAGATTTATCAAAATGGTAGATAATAAAATATGAAAATATGTCCAAATCACAAGTAAGCTGAAGATTTTTTTAAATAAGCATAAGAAAACGTGCGTTCAAAGTACCTTGAGATAGTTGTCATGTGAGTTGCCATTTTACAGAAATAAAATGTTTTAAATAATTTAACTAAATTACATACCTCAAGAGCTTCCATTGAACGTTTTCGGCGAGTTTCCAAACTATTTTTCAGCTGAGGCCAATGTTTGAGTGCTAAATATCTCCGAACATAGGACTGTAGCAAAACTGAAGACTTTTTGAGATGCTCATATTGGCGTCTTTGTTTCACCATAGCCTTGTACGCTCTGTAATATCTTTGTAATGTGATTACGCTTTCTTTTTGAAGTAAATATTCTCTTTCAGCTAATTTCATTGCAACAATAGCTCGATATCTTGATTGTACTTTAATTACAGACTGTCTCAATTTCAAAAATCTTAAGCGTTCCTTAGTGGGTGGCAAAGATTGTCTCAAAAATTTTTTAATTATATTACTAGATGTTATTAATTTATTTTGGTAGGCTTTTAACACACATTTGGTTTCTGGCCATTTTTTGCGTACCAAGTATCCTCTAAAGTAGGCTTGTAATCTAATAGTAATTTTTTTTTTGTTTTCATAAATTTGCTTTTGTTGTTTCATAGCCATGTTGGCACGGAATTTTCGTTGAATTAAAATAACATTATTACGCAAGGTGCGATAATTCTTTACTTGTTTATTAACTCGGAATTTGGTTTGGACAGTAATTACAGCTCTTCTTAATTCAAGGAATCTTAAACGACTTTCAGTAGTTGGGAGATTTTTTCTCATCACCCTTTTAATTATATTGCTACAATTAATTAAATGTTGCCGATTGGCCATCAGTTCATTTTTTAAAGATATCCATTGTTTTCTAAAAATATATCCTCTGGCTACACTTTGCAATCTCAGGGTCATTATTTTAATTTGAAGATATTGTTTTCTCAGTTTTTGCATTTGTTTAGTGGCACGAAATTTTCTTTGTATAAATATGGTAGATTTTTTTAATCTGATGAATTTTATTTGGTCTTCTGTTACTGGAATATTTTTTCGCAGTGTTCTTTTTATGATATTACTACAATTTATTAAATAATTTTTATTCGCTTGTAATTTTATGCGTAATTCAGGCCATTGTTTTCGAATTATGTACCCTCTAACTATACTTTGAAGTTTGATTGTATTAGCTTTCATTTTGATGTATTTTTCTCTATCTTCTTTCATCATTTTTATAGCCCGAAATCTTCTCTGAAATACTATCGCAGCCGATTTAACTTGAATAAACTCCATCCTTTCTACTGAAACAGGTAAATTTTTTCTTAGGCATTTTTTAATAATGTTGCTGCAGTCAATTAAATGAGTTCTATTCTTTTGTAATTTATTTCGTAACTCTGGCCATTGTTTTCTCAGAAGATAACCTCTAACAATACTTTGTAATTTAATTGTAACAGTTTTCAGTAATAGGTAAAGTTTTCTTTGCTTCTTCATTTCTTGCTTAGCACGGAATCTGTTTTGCAAAACAATGGCAGAACTTTTTAGTCTGAGAAATTGAATGCGGTCTTCTGTAACTGGAAGATTCCTTCTCAAGGCTCGTTTAATAATGTTACTAGAGGTAATTAAATTCATTTTGTTTTTCTGCAGTTTACTATATAATGTAGGCCAATGTTTCCGTACAATGAAACCTCTTATTACAGCTTGTAGCTTAAGTGTACATATTTTAAGTTTTAAGTAGTATTTTTTCTGATCTATCATAGCTTGTTTGGCTCTGAATCTTCTTTGTAACACAATTGCATTTTTCTTTAAAATCAAAAAATCTTTCATCTGATTTTTCATCAAAATATTTGCCCTAAATTTTCTTTGAATTTTCAAAGTCATGAATATTAATTTTTTATAAAATAATTCATCTTCTGTGGGTGGCAGGTTTTTTCTCAATGAGCGTTTAATAATGTTGATGGCATTTATTCGCTTTATCTTATCATCTATAAGAAGCTTTTTAATAAGTGGCCAATTCTTTCTTATAATAAAACCACGATACACTTTTTGAATCAATAAAATAGACTGCTTGACTAGCAAAAATTGTTGTCGTTCTTTTTTCATTGCAATTTTTAATCTGAATTTTCTTTGAACAAATAAAGTCGTTCTTTTCAAAATTATAAATCGCTTTCGTTCTTCAGTTAATAATTTTAGTTTATTTTGAAGATATCGTTTAATTTTTGTTGAAGCCAAATGTAATTTCTGACGGTTTTCATTCAAATCTGCTTGTATACCTGGCCAGTATTTTCTGGTCAAATAACCACGAACACATGCCTGTATTTTAATAGCAGCTAAATTACGTTTGAAACTTTGTTTGGTTCTAATTCTTTTTAATATTACTAATTTAAGACTATTATTTCGCCACCAATGTTGAATCTTTAAGGCTGCATTGTTGTACCGAGGAGTTAGATACTTATAAATAATTTGCCAAAATAATGACAAAATTTTTTCTCTATGACCATTTACAATATCACGAGTGTTTATATTGCCTTCAATATTGATATGTTCAGATATTCTGGTTAAAGCCAAATTCACGTTATGTATTTTCTGCAATTTTGAAATGGCAGGAAGTCTCAGTTTTTGTGATAGCTGTTCACCTTTAAATAAAATTTCAACAACTCTAGTGATTCTGGTACCATCTCTCAAATCATTTAATGATTTGACAGCATAATTTACTTCATCCAAATGTGTTTGTTTATGAGTCAAGTTATAGTCAATATTACGCAAACGCCGAATTATGTCTCCGTGTGCAGTCACCATGTCAGCACAAAATCCCATTAGAAAGTCATAGCTACTCTGTAAAATAAAACTATGTTTTACAACAGAACTTTATACATAATATATAAATAAATTACTTTATAAGGTGAATCAATTTTGAATAGGCATGGATTATGTCTAATCAGATGTTGTTCTTTTGCACGATCCAAAAAATATATAAGCATTAGTATTTTTCTTAAAATAAATTTTTTCATGGCTATCTATAAAAACATAAAATTAATATAAATAAAGGTTTATCCGTCTACTATAACTATTTTTACTTACATTATATGAAGGAAAATTCACTTGAAGTACATTTGTTTTGGTAAATTTTTGTTTAACAAAATCATTATTAAACAAATGTTTACGTATAAACCAACCAATACCATCTAAGTCATTTGAACCGGGTTTTGTAAGTACAACTTGTCCGTATATAGCTTCTAGTCCAATTCGTAACCAAAGTGGGTTATAACATTTCAACAGATCAGTAATTTTTTTCTTTAAATCTAAATAAATAATTTATTAATATTATTTCTGACAAATTTAGCTTAAAAAGCTTACTTAAATCTAAATGTATTTGTCGATCATCACGAACTGTAATGAGATCTTTTTCAATTGATACAGTCAATTTTGATAAAACGGTTGCCACATTTGTAGATGTAATAAGATTAGATGTTGCTTTGCGTAATGCACTCCATTGTTGTGGTGATTGTCTATATATTTGTGCCACAAATAAATCTTTTTGAGTAGCAAGTTGCAGAGGCTTATTTCTATGGTTTGTCTGAGATGCTTCGACCCAAGCTTCAGCTGCTTGTTCTAGGTCATCTGATTGTTCTTCATCAGCTAATTTATCAGTAGGCATAAGTAATGCATTTAACCATCGAATCATATCAGACTCTTGTCTGTCAAGCCACTCAGTTTCATAATATTGAGACCTAAAATATAATTATCTTTTACTATGAGAATAAAAACAGTTTTTGTTTTAATGTTCAATTAAATTTAATAAAATGAAACAAATTGTTAAATGTTTACATTCAATTGAAAATAAGGTAAGATTTTTGCATACATTTTTAAAAATGGATCCTCAGCATTATTAAAATACACAAGTTCTGGATTAGCTAAGCATTTAAGGTACTGGTCACACTTATCTAGTTTTGGAGTTCTTAATCGCTTTGTTCGTGGACTAAGAAAACCTTAAAAAGATAATTGAATAAGTAAAATTAATTGTTTTTTTAATTTACTATTTTATAAAAAATAATTTGAGAAATTTATACATTGAAATTAATGTAAGTATACTTTGAATTAAATAAATAAATTAGATTTACTTACTATGTTGTTTCAATTTATTCTTTAAAATTAAAGATTTTGGGCTACATTTGTAATAAGGAGAATTTTTAATAACAAATGAAGGTCTCTTAGATTTTTTACTGCTTGGTGTGATTCCTGAAATTACTAAAAAATAATAAAACTATACAATGTACTATTAAATATTTTATAGAACTATTGTGTGTTTATACTTGAATGATGAAGAGTTGTATGTCCAGTTGACCATTCTTGTTGTTTTAAGTTAAAATTTTGTTCAATATTTATAGGTGTTATAACCGATCCAGGATTGACATCTTTAATAAACGTTACACCATCTTTATTTGTATCATTTTTGAGTGGATCTTCAAATTTATTACAAAGATTTACTGAGATTCTTTTGGGTTTTCTTTCATCAGGAGTAAAAGTTTTAGCTCCAGTAGATGCTTCGATTGGCTTAAATGGCGATGGACTAAATGAAGCAAAAGCTAAATTATTGTCATTTTTTTTACATTTTTTAGTAGTACTAAATGGAGAAAGCAAATTTTTAGTATTTTTTAATGGTGTTAAATAAAAGTCATTAAATGGAGACTTGTTGCTATCTATAATCTGCAGTGATCCGTCTAATGAATCATTACTCATTATACTACGGTTCATATTTAGATTATGAACTTCAAAGTGATTATTGATATCATGATCTTGAAATTTTTTATTTGAATACTTAAAATTATGTTCTATTATGTTAGAACAAATGTCTTCATCAAAAATTTTATTCGCCAATTCAGCATAATTTTCCTTATCGTTAATTAAAAAGGTTTCTCGTCTAATCTCTTGATCAATGGACGATTCTGGACAGTGAAGCTTAGATTTTTTTTTATCATTTTTTCCTAAGATAATTCTTTCTGATTTATAATTTGTAACTTTAGTTTTATTCAAAGTAATTTTTTTCTGACCACAATTTAATTGTTTTCTTATTAAGTTTGAGTTTTTTGACTTGGAATATGTTATAGAAGCGCCCTAAAACATATTAATAAGTATTATATTTTGATATTAATTACGACATACAAAGTAGCTATACTGCAAGAAAATTACCTTTAATTTTTTATTTAATGTATCAATGCAATTTCCCATAATAACAAAATCATATTTTATGTTGCTATCCTTTTGTTCCAATTTAATTGTTTTACGCATATTTCCATATACTAATGGCTGCCAAGTGATTGATAGTTCATGTTGTGAATGTGGTTGTAGAGTAAAATCATAAATATTAAAACGTATACCATCACTTAAATGAGGTAAAGCAAACTAAAATAATACAATTGATGGATTTTAAATAACATAATAAAAAAAAAAAAGAAAAAAGATAATATAAATTATTAACCTGTCTTGGTTTATCAAGTGGGTTAATGACTGTTAGAAATCTAACAGCTTCTTCTTTAATTTTAACATTGGCAAATTCTATTTGAGTCTGCTTTTGGAATGGTGCTAATATCATATTATAGCTGAATACTGTATTTATATCGTCATCATTTGATTTAATTTTAACTGGGGGAGAAAATTCAACCTAAAAGCATTTAAATATATTATAAAACAATTATATTTACCACTTTATATTAAAAATTTAAATTAAGAAAATTAAAAGTTCTTAAATATCATAAAATAGTGATATTAACAAAGCATAATTAATTTAATTAGTTTGAGTTCAACATAGAAAATGTATCTCTCGACTTACATTTGAGTTATCATATTGAAAAATAATATATTCTTATAAGGCAAAACTAAAATAGCTAATTGTTTATACTGTTTCAAAAAGTACTTTATACTATTTCAAATAGTGCATAAAAATAACATTTAATAAATACAGATAAAACTAAATTTTCATTTGAAAAATTCATTAAAAGATTCATTATATTACACTTTTTCTACACTCTAAAATTTAAAACCAAAAGAATGAATTTTTAGTTATTTCAACTGTAATGTTCTTATTGTAGAATAATAATTTAAACAATTAAATATTATAAATCATTTCCATTAATTAATATGGGTATTACATAAATGAAAATAATTCAGAGTAAAATATTCATTATAATAATACTTTTAGGTCCTAGGGATTTATTTATAACATATGCTAAATGCATATAAATAACATAACAAAAAATATTTTTAGAAATAAGTAAATTTTATAGTTAAAAGTATAATAGAAATAATGTGGATTTAAAAGTAATTACTGTTCAGAGAAAATGCAATAAAGAAAATAGTTGACTCTAAATAGTTGCAGCCCGAAATTATTATCAACATAACAGTCCTAACAGAGGGAAAGAGAGTAACATTACTACATAAATGCTGTTTCCGCTGCATCAATAATACAAATAAACGCAATACTCACGACGAACTTAGACATCGTGACAAGTGACTGACGATCGTTGATATGAGGGAAAACGATCCGGAAGACGCAGTTCTAGTTCTGGCTTCAGGGCAACTCAGAGACCAACGAGCACGGACCGGACGTGCATGAACTGCATTGGACGATAGCACGAAAACAACTTGACATACGAAATATTTACGTATCTGTATCAATCTAAGATGATATGTTATGGAGGTTACGAACGCATGAGGTCGTAAACGAGAAGAAACGAAAAAATAAACATTCGAAACGTACTTCGAACCACGGAAAAAATCGGACTGACGATTCTGAAAAAAACCGTTAAAAATATTGCCGTTGTTGTCAGTAAACCAACGAATCACAGATATCATCTGTTCCTCGCTCACCAACACTCCATCCATCAAGTGATCGAATGGTCGGTGGGAGAGAAGGTGGCTTCCAGTGTGACCAACAAACACGTTAGAACAACGGATCGCGGTTATCACATTACGACTGTGTTGTCTAAGATTGTCCCCACAATTTGATAAATGCGACGACGAGATTATACTCATATCACCTATTCACATCAAACACGATTTAATCTTGCAAGCAATTATTGCCAATTGATTTTTAAAATCCCGTCGTGATCATTCAAAAAATTATTATTACCATATTTTGTCTTCTATTTCTGAAGCGTTGGTTGTTTTTTGTTTGTGTCGATTACGCTTATTTTATTAGCTCACGACGAGCACAGTAAATACAACAATTAAGGATATTGCTTGAATTTTATAAATTACATATTCTTCCTCGCACTGATTGTACGTCAAATCCATCATTTATAATGTTTAAAAACGAATTCCGTGTTAAATCAAGTACTCCACTAAAAGGCGCCGAACAGTAAGTGTTAACCGTTGGGTGTTACTAGGATTTCTGTTAATTCACTCCTTATGTTTTAGAAAGAAGCTGAAATCTACTGTCTGCAAATGCTTTAATTTATCCAATGAAGCTTTGGATGAATTTTTAAACCATAAACAATTAACACTGTTGAAAGCAATAACGATTTCTAATGACATAGTAAAAATATTCTGTGCACAAGATGTCGCAATAGTTTTTGAATTTAAAGGAAAATATTATCCAACGCTGTTTATGATTTGGACATTTCCTCAAATTCTTCCTCGGTTGAAATCAGACAATAATTTATATTCCAAACTTAAAACATCAACAGACTTAACAGTAAAAGACTTAAATTCTATAACTCATGAGATAAATAATGATCATGTCCTAACATCATTACCTGTTGATCAGTGTGTAAGTTTGTGCACAAACTCTTGTCAAAAAATTCTTGGTATAGGAAACTTAATTATGGATGGTAATTCAATAAAAGAACAAGAGCCAAACCGAAATAAATGTTTGAAAGTAATGCATTATTATGGCGACGAACTTTATAAATCTCATATATTGCAAATAATACCTGATGTAATTTCAAGTATGGAACGTGAATTTGTCAATGCTCCTGAAATAAATAATGGTCTACAAATTCAATCTGAAGATAATCAAACTATTGTTGAAAAAATGGATGAATTATTTATGACTTGTTCATTAAAAGCATTGAAACATTCTATTACAAAAGAAATGTTGCCAATTTTAGCTAGTACGTTTTATAAGAAGTATGTTATGTCATTTTGTCCAGAAGGAATAGAATTAGATATAAAAAAAACCAGTTTCAAAAAGTTATCTACTTTTTTACAATTATTGGATAAAGAAGGTATAATAAAATTTAATATTGGTAGTAATGGCATTGCTGAAATAGTTCGTATTATTCATACTAATAGTAGGTTTCAAGATGCAAACCTTGAAGATAATACAGAAAAAGAAAATGTTGATCAGTTTTCACCTCCAGTAAAAGAAATCTATGTAGTAACACCAGGATTACATCCCATATTTTCAGAATTTCTTTGTCGGTAAAATTATTTACTTTTTAGTTGTTGATTAAACGTTTTTTGTTGTGTTTTAATTATTTATATACTTTTTGTTATGTTATAGTAAAGGAGATGAACTATCAGTATCATCTATTCGAAGATATGTTACAGAATACATAAAAAAACATGAGTTGCAAGATAGCACAAATCCTTCGTACGTATTTTTATAATTTTTGGCTATCTAAGTAAAACTGTATTTTATACAACTGAACCATATTAATTTTTAGTTTTTTATCTATAAATTATAAACATGATTTAAAATTTTGATAAATTTAAAATGAAACATAATAAGGTTTTCATTCTTAATAATATATTCTTCAATTTTTTTTAATATTCTACATACTTAATCTAATTTATAAGACTAGGAAAAAATCAGTTTACATTAAATCGTTATTATTAGATATATTCATGTATTTAATTATATGTTTATATTTTTTTAATTTATATAATAGACCAATTTTCATAACAAAAATCCACATATAGTGTATAAATTAATTAATAAAAATAATCATAATTTTTGAATTATGAAGTATTTACTAACTATGAATTTATGTTGTTTTACCACTATAAAATGTTTATTATTTTTAACTGGGTAGAACAAAAGTGCAAAAAATACATTTGTGCATTAAATATTTGATAAATTTTGTGTAATGTTTTAAACTTCACTATATTTACAAGTACTGATGTTAGATTGATTTAAAGAAAAATAGGATTTATTAAAAATATAATATTTTCGTCAAATTTTAATTTTTGTATTTAGCAATATTCTATATGTTCTAAATGAAAAATAATTGTTTAAACTTTTAATATGTTGAATTCATATTTAATTTCAAATATTTTTTTAGTATGGTAAATACAAATGATGTCTTAAAAAAAATTCTATCTCAAAGAAAAGACAAATCATCAATATCTTTTAAAGAATTAATTGAAGAAATAACCAAATTAATGCATAGAACTGAAATTGCTGTCCTTAATACTGAAACAAAGAAGAACTTAAAGAAAAAAATTAATAATATTGAAATGACTGTCAATAACAGAAGTGGAAATAAAAAGGTACATTTATTCATTTATCATTCTATTAAATACTAAAAATTAGTATTGGAAAACCACTTCTTAAAAAAATATTTTATTATTTTTATTTAGTACCTAAAATATTACTGTATAACTTAATATCAACTTACTGAGTATATACATACATATCAACAAACTATTTTTCATATTTATTTTATTATTTTTGAATTTATAAATACCTGCACTATATATAATATTGTATAACTATATGTTTAAATTATTTATTAATATCAAACATAATTTTTCATATCACCATTAAACTGTTTTTTATCAATATTACAGGTAACTTTAGTCAATAATTTAGAGTTATATGGTATTGATGTTATAAAATTCAGTAAAGAATGTCAACATGGTGTGGCTGCTAGTACAACTATCAATGATATTCCAAGTGCACAAAATAGACAAGTTCAAATTCAGGGTTCTCAAATTCTTTTTGTTTACAAATTATTAACAGGCAAGTATTTAATAACAGAATTACTTATTATTTAAAGATTTTAATATTAAGAATATGTAATTTAACATCAACATTTTTCTTAAATGAATTGTGATTTTGATATGAATTATATGATAAAAAAAGTACAAATTAAAAAAAAACTTTTTAACTACTAATTATTATTTATTAAGCTTTTATGAAACTTAAAATAGTTTTTTTAATTAACATGTTTCAAAATAAGGTCATCAATCTTTTTGAATGTTAATACTTTATACAAACTTTAATAATAATGAAAATAAAAAAATTTATAATTTAATGATATTTATGAATTATACATATAAATTAATTTTATTATTTTAAAAACATCTTAATATGAAACAAGTTAATTAATTTATAAAATTTGTAAAATATATCCTTGTCAAACGTATAAAATCATTTATCAAACAAATTACTTATTTTACAAAATATAAGTTGTTTAAATTTGGATTTAATACTTAATTTTCTTTTTCAGATCAATATAAAATTCCTGTTAAATTCATTAGAGGACATGAAAATTATTTAAAGAAACCAAAAAAATAATTTGTTTTTTAGAAATCTTATTGTTAACATAATTTATTTAATTAAAAATTTTAAATGTTTTTATGATATATTAGTTATTTTCATCCTTCAAATAGAATCTATATTTAGGAGTTTTTGACAAAATATTTTTTAAAAAGTGGAAAATAAGTTGTAATATATATTACTTATTACAAGGACTTACCGTTTCTGTTTATATTACCCTCAGTGTTGTGCAAATAGTTAAATTTATCTAGATGCTTCATATAGATAACAACTTTGTGTATTTATTTTATTTAGATAAAAACAAAAATTGATATCTTATTTTCATCTAGATGAAAATGATTGGTATCTAGATTATTCACTAAAAGCGTAGTCTGTACTTAAAGTCCATGTAAGTATGATATATGTACTCGTATACGATTATAATTTTAGCTTAAAACAGGATAATTTAATGAATTCACAAACATTGAAGTATTTGAATTAAAAATAGAGCTTGAATTATTTAATCAATATGTTGTTATCGAAAAAATATTTTTAAAGTACAAACAACTCTTCCTTCATCAGCACCAGTACATAGGTTGTGAAGTGGTGCTCTTCAAGTCTTACCATCAAGGCGAAACTGTCTCAGTGATTCAACTTTTGAAAATCTTCTGTGTTGTTAAACTTGAAAGTACTTATTATTTGTTTATTTTTATATTGAAGATAAAATTCATTGTATTTAATTGTTTTTGTTAATAACTAATTAATTTTATTAAAAATATATCTAACTTCTCTTTTTAATAATAAATACTGTTCAAGGAAACTTGTTCAAACATTATTTATTATGTTTGTACTATATATTAAAGTCTTTAGTCATTCATGGTCTCATATCAACAGCGATACAATTTCGCATGTGATTAATAATTTATATATATTTTTATGAATAAAAAAAAAAATAAACATTATAGTATGTTACAAATAATTTGTGCGGTATTACACCATTTAACTTCAAAACTTGATGAAATTTAGGATTTTGTAATTTAAATATGTAATATTTTGAAACCAATTCTTGCAAAAAAATTTGTATTCCCTTCAAACTAAAAAATGTTTATAGTATGAGTTGGTTATATATCAGTTGTATTATTTTATACTTATCTAAGGTGCTTATATATTATGTTGCCTTTATATTAATTAAAAACTTCTTAAAAGAAAAACCTTTTGTTGTTTTTAATTTTAGTTAAAATTGTTATAATATGTAAAATTTATCTAATTTTTATCTAGATAAAAAAATTTTTATTTATCTATATCTAGATACATTAATTGTTTACCCAAGTCATATCTAACACTGATTACACTTTCATAATTAGGTATTAAATTTATTTAAATCATTACTAGTCAAAGCACTTTCATTATCACTACTACTCTTAGATACAATTTGCAGTAGTTATTTATATAAGACATTTATTGAGAAGAGATCAAATAAAGTGACTCATAATAGTCACAGTTTAACTTTTTACTGCAGGTAAATATTAATTAGAAATAATTAATATATGTTTCTTGAGCAAAATAAATATTCATAATAATAATTAAATTATTTTCAAACATACTTTATAATTAATGTATCTATTTATATTTTATATACTTACAGTAAGGAGAAAACCACACTAACTATTTAGTATTCTCAACATTTAAATAAAATATATTTAAAAATTCTATTCTTTATTGAATAAAAATACAATAACTAGAAGTAATTAAAGTAGAGTAAAATAATGTTCATACAGTTAAAAATATTATTATATGTATATTGGATGGTAAAATAAGTACTTGTTACAAGTCCATAATTATTTTTAAGTCTAAGGCCGTTTGCACACAGTCCGATAAAATCGAACGATATTATTGGTGATTGTGTCGGATACACCAATAATACGTTATTTTAAATCAATCGTTTACACACTAGTTCCGATCCGATAAAATATCTATTTTTAATTCACCGATATCGTTGTGCATGTCGGACAAACGACCAAAATCGGACGATACTTTATCGGTCCGGTTTTAATGATTACTGAAAATAAATGGTTCGTTTGCACACTCGTCGATATTATCGGAATAATAAAATAAAATGTAGTTTTAATTCCTCGCATGTATCTAATAGGAACTTTCAATATTTAAGTATTTTAAATTTTGAAAAATGAGTTACTTTCCCTACGACGTGCCAACTCTAATTGAATTAGTAGAATCAAGACCATGTCTTTGGGATAAAACAACAAATGAATATAAAGTTTTTGTTTAATGTGTAATACTGCTAAGAGGGCGATTTTCTTTTTAGAATTCATTTTAAATTATTAAACACTAGAAATGGTAAGAAATGCCTGACAGATAAAAGCCTAATAACCGTAATAATATGATTTTTATTCTTTTATCGGACCGATAATTTTGACTAATGTGCAAAATATATCCGATATTATTATCGTTACCGATATTATCGGACTGTGTGCAAACAGCCTTAGGCCGTTTGCACACACACCGATAAAATCGGAACCGGAGCCGGCGCCGGTACCGGTACCGGTTGTTCGCTTTTTTCACACATACCGGTAAAACCTAAGCCGGTGCCGGTTTCATTTCACACACTACGAGAAAACCATGTTAAACAGTTTTTGTATTCACTAGGGTAAAGTCGTATTTTAGTTATTTTCTCTGTTGTTTTCAACAATGTGTGCTGCTCTTAACAAACGCCATCTGTTTGGGCTACTGTACCTTCGAAGGAAGTATCGAAGAGGCAAAATTAAAAGACGATATTGGATTCATCCTATATTAAGTGTAAGGTACTTGGAAGGAAGTTTTTACACCCTTTATGAAAAACTCAGAGAAGACCAAAATAAATTTTTTAACTATTTTCGTATGAGTTCTTCTACTTTTGATTTTCTGGTAGAACGACTATATATTAGTATAAAACATCAGGATACTCCAATGCGAGCATGTGTTCCTCCGAAAGAAATGATTGCGGTAACTATAAGGTAAGTGAAAAATAAATACATTTAACATGTATATTTTTTCAATAACAAAATCTTTTATTTATTTTATAAAATGTATACATTAATTTATTTATTTCATACATGATTTAAATTAGTATATTATGAATTAAGATATAATAATAAAATAGTATTTAGTATCTATATAGTGTAATAAAACTGAGTGTTTCGTATTAAAATCTAACTATAATTAAAATTCATGGTGAATATAGTGTGGATGGCCCGGGTGAATTTATTTTAGAATTAAGAAAAGATGTCTGGGTTAACGGCGGTTAACTTTCATCCAAATGATAAGTTTGTTGTGTAAACTGATGTTGACTATCAAGAATTAAATTAGTTTGTTGATCATTGTGATAAGAGTTGGAAAATGTAGAAGGCTGAAATAAATATGGCGTGGAAGAACTAGAAGTTGATCTAGAAGTGATCGTCGATGGAGGGTGGTTATTTGCACGCCTGTTAATATCTTTTATTAATTGTAACACATTCATGCGAAAATCTAGTTTATCCTCGTCTGACATTTTTCTCACAGAAGGTGTGATTGAAATAAAAAATGCTTCATCTTCGTCAGGGGGATTTTCCAGAGCTTTCAAAATTTGTCTGTCAATGTCTTCTTGGCGTTCTTGCAACCGAGCTTTTTTGGGAAAGTTACGTTTATCATTTTGTACTACACTAAAATTTTGCTGAGATTGTATTTCTATGTTACTTTCTGATTCTCTTATGTCATGATCTTCATTTAAGAGGGAGTACTTATCATGTTGGGTATCATCTATACTTGACTCAGTATCATCTGATTGTACCACTTTTAACAAGAATGTTAAATGGTCATGGTATAAATATTTTTTAGAAGTGCTTTAGCCAGATTTTTTTTTTAAAGATTTAACAAAAGCGTCGCGAATATTTTGCCATTTTCCATTGATTATTTCCCCTAAAAAAATTGAAATAAATACTATAAAAAATATGTTTATTTACACCGATAATTTTTTTTTTTTTTTTTTAATCGGAAAATTACACAATTTTTAATAACCATTTTATCTTCATTTTTATTTTAAGGTACCTTGCTTCTGGATCAACATTTACTGACCTTCATTACTACTTCAGATTAGGCATAAGCACAATCAGTAAAATTGTTCGTTTAATTTGCCACTTCTTGTGGGTTATACTAAAAAACGAATTACTTCCACAACCAACAGAAGAAAATTGGCAAAAAATAGCAAGAGATTTTAAAAAAACCGCTCAATTTCCAAACTGTCTGGGCTGTGTGGATGGGAAACATATAAGAGTAAATAGATTTCCACAAAGTGGGTCAATGAATCTAAATTACAAAGGATATTTTTCTATTGTTCTTATGGCGGTGGCCGATTCAAATTATAAATTCACCTATGTAGACATTGGAGCTTATGGTAAAGATTGTGACTCATCAGTGTTTCAGCGTACTATTTTTTTTGAGTTAATGACGAGTAATCAATTAAAAATACCAGCGCCATGCCCTATAGATTCAACTAGTAATATACATTTTCCATTTGTACTTGTAGCAGATGAAGCATTTGGGCTATCCGAACATTTAATGAGACCTTATGCCGGGCATAATCTTACAGAAAAAAAAAGAGTTTTTAATTACCGTTTAAGTCGGGCCAGAAGATATGTCGAATGCGCTTTCGGTATTTTAGCTAATAAGTGGAGAATTTTACATAGGGCACTTAATGTATCAAAAAAGTTTTCGAAAGACATAGTAAAAGCATGTGTTATTTTACATAATTTAGTTAGAACAAAGGATTCACAAATATATGACATCGATGTTTATGAAACTAGAACGCTGCAAGATTTACCTAGAGCTTTATGTAATAGATCATCAAGAACTGCAAATGATTTAAGGGATCGTTTTGCAGACTACTTTGTGAGCACAGAAGGATCGTTGCCATGGCAATTGAAAAAAATTTGAGTTAATACTAATTATATCTACATTATTATTTTAACTTATAAATAAAATATTTAAGGAAATTATTATTTATTGAAATATTATAAATTAAAAATAAGATTATAAAACTACTTTATTACTTAAATATATAAATTACCTATTTTTAATTGTTCCTTTTTGTCTTTGTGTACAAAATCTTCTTCAAAAAATGTATACACTTCATTCCAGGCTTTTTGTTTTTCAATTCTATCTTTAAATCCATCTGTTGTCTTATCCCACAAACAAGGCTTACTTTCTACGAGCTCAATTAAAGTGACAATGTCGTACTTAAACAATTTAGTCATTTTTGGTAAAATGTACGTACTATGTACCACAACGAGATTGATGTCAATACTAAACTAAACTATGAGAGTTTATTAAAGTAATATCATACGACAGAATATCATATATATCATATCAATATAATTATTTTTTAGGTTTCCGACGGTACCGACAAGACCTGTGCCGACCTGTGTGTACACGTTTGTATAAGAAAACATTGAAATCGATAATTCGGAGATCAGTCCGGCATTCGAATTATCGAATTCAACGCCGACTGCGTATTCCGGAATCGTCCACCGGACCGACAAATTTACCGGTCCGGTCTATGTGTGAAAGCACTAACTTAATTACATTGCATCCGGCACCGGCGCCGGCTCCGGTGCCGATTTTATCGGTGTGTGTGCAAACGGCCTTAGAGATATTAAAATAATAGTGCCAACATTTTCTTATTATGTATTACTAAGTTATTATTTTACGCTTGGGCAATAATTTATTATCAAAGCTTGTTTATGGAATAAACGGAAGGCGCAAACGCCATCAGACCATAATCTCAGCATAGCCTTTACATATCAACTATACAGCGGCTGATTGGCTAAACATTTTGGCCCAGAAAATTACCGTATAACCGGCTCACCATCCAATAATAATAATTTTCCATAAAAGTCTCCTTTATTCATGGATTAAATGCTCATAGAATTTTTTACATCACATTTACACAATTAACTATATGTGGTTTTTATCACAATCTTACAATGAAATACAATATACTTAAATAAATAATTTTTTGAAATAATTTTTAATGCAAGTATATTTTGTTATAATACGACTACCGGCCCACAAATAATTGTAATTATACGTAATTGTAATTGTTATTATTATTATTGTAATTATTAATCGTAATTGTACGGAATAAATTTATAATATTTATAGTATAATTAAAAACTAAAATATTTTTTTTAAAAGAATATATTATTGTGAAACCTTTTTTGATACTTAAAGACATACCATATTTTATACACCATTGGTGAAAATAATTTAGATCATCTTGAAAATTAATAGAATCCTCAATAGTATTAATTTGTTTGTATAATTTAGTAGTATTAGCAAGTATTAGACAATGCGAATGTTTTATAATCTTAAAAATATTATTTATTAAAAAGAAAATAATAATGGTGGTAAATGATCTTCTTGGAGGAGACTAGATATTTCAATTAAATCTGGTTTACAATTTTTATATTTTAATAATTAAGTACAATTTATATAAACATATGGTATATGTTTATATATATATATATGGTATATGTTTATATATATATATATATATATATATATATATATATATATATATATATATAGGTATATATATATAAAATACAAGTAATTTTTAAAACCAAAATGTATTGACAAATTTGATGAGATAGTTATGGAATATGATTCATATCATTATATTATAAAAAATATAAATATTACATTATTTAATTTTAAAATAAACTATTAATTTCGAATACAACACATAAACTTAATAATTAATTAGTTAATTTTTAATATTTTTATTCTTAAGTTATTGGTATTGTGGTTTAAAAATTTAATAATCTCAGCATAAAACTTGGAACTTAGCTTAAAGGTTTGGTTTTGATTCTACAAGAATAACAGAAATTAACAGAATTAACCTTGGGTTTAAATATCTAATCCAATTAAAACCATGGTTAATCACAAATACTGTCGCTTTTATTTTTTCATTTCAATAATAAGAACTAATTTAATCTTAAATATATTTTGGAAAAATAATATGTGTAATTAAAATTAAAACTTATTATACAATAAATTTTAAGTTAGTCAAATGTTTTTTTTTTTTTTTTGTATTTTAGTTAGGTATTATCATACTTTAATAAATATAATAAATATATAATATAAATATAATAAAAATCAAATCTGTATGTAACTAGTCATACTTAAAAAACAACATTTATTATTTATCTGATACATATGCATACTCTGCAATATATAGATTTATTTTTAAATATAGATATATTAGTAATAATACCTATATTACATAATTTAATTATAACTTAATTTACTAGAAAATATAAATTAAATTTAAAAATCGCTATTTCTAAATAAATTGAAACATGATGCATTTTTTATCTGTAAAAAAAAAATGAAAAATTTTACCTCCCATTTTTTTGTAATATTTATAAAAAATATATCATTTTTTTCTTATTTTTTATTTTTTTGTAATATATATATACTTGTATAGGTAATATATTGTATTATTATTGTATTTTTTATAATATTATACAGTCACTTTATTTTTAGCAACATTTAAAAATACGCTACTGGTCTTACATGTATTTATATTTGTATGTAAACCAATACGCTTACACAAACCACACCCATATTAAAATAATAACGCTTTACCATTTATTCATTTACCTTATAATTCCTTGGCCAATTTGAACGAATTGCAATTTAGAAGTACCTACAACTATTTATAATATTTTATTGTAGATGAATATTTCATGTTTTCTAGTACCTACCAAATCAAAAATAACTAGATATCCGATTATGCATCTAAATCGCGGGTTAGGATAATCGGTTTTCTACATTTTAATATTATTTTTATTATTATTATTATTATTATTATAGGTAGTAGTGCTATATAATCAGCCAACCGTTTGAATCATCTACCGACAAAAGAGACAAATCACCGAAACAATCAACTATAATTAAAAAGGAAAAATACATTTTCAGAAAAATTGATGAGAATTTAGCAACCTTAATTCGTTTTAATTGTATCGGGCGTGTCTATGTGTGTGTGTGTGTGTATTATGGTATACAATACATATAGAGAGATGGTACATTTCCTACACTTCTGGAAAGCGTTTCTTCATACGTAAACACGTCAATTCAATTACTATAAATCGCTAATTGCGATTGTATTTCGAGACTTTTAATGAAAATGTTGTGTTTGACGTCGTTTTCTTCGGTTTTTTTTTCTTTCACTTTGCAGACCCCTAAATTACACATTGATTTCATAATATACTATTATTAAGTAAGTTACATGTATACATATACATTTACAGGTATTCGATGACGCGTTGATACGTTAAAGGGGCTCGGAATGTGATCTCTTCCGGGAAAGGAGGAGGGGCTGTACACTCCAGGACTACTGTACGTCAGTGTCCTCGGTACCGCACTGCCACGCACACTCATACATGATCCTCCATCCGTCGCGGCAGCGTCAGGTTAGGTGCGCGAACGTTGGGTGACGACGTCAACGTGTACGTGGAAACGTTGTACTACGTAGCGCGAGGTAGCATGTTACAGCGGATACGGATTGCGCGTTGCATGCGAGCGGTACCCATGATCATTTATTGTGTACAGAGATGAACCCATCAGTTTTGTTGAGTGTAGGTATACTACGCCGACGAATGTCCGAATACCGACATTTTAATGATTTAGACAGTGGTGGTGGGAAAGGGTTGTACATATTAACAAATATTTTTATTTTTTAAGGAATAAAAAAAATTAAATTGTTCGAATGAATCGATACCATCGTAAACACATCATCATAATATCGTCGGTAATTATTTCTTAGTCACACACAAATCGTATGAGGGAAAACCGAATGTTTATTAAAAAATAAGGTCAAAATGAAAACCTGTGAAACTAATTAGGTAACATTTAACAATTCTTCGCGAAGAGCTTGAGACTTGCGAGAGTATACGCATAATACCCGTGCATTTTCAAAATAATATTGAGAGTAGGTAGACCAAGGACAGATGCAGCTTCTATTTACGGTTAGGGCACTTTATATGATATGGCTGATCATAGGCGTATGTAGGGGTGTCTCGAGAGGGGGCTCATACCCCTCCGAAAAAAAAAATTATGTGTCAATATTTTACTAAAACTAACGTTTATTTTTGTAGTCTATTGTTAAGTTTTTCCAAATAAACCATATATTTAATATTATTATTTTCCAAAAGGGTGACACGCGCACTTAGTGCTCCCCCCCTCTCCATATGAATCCTTCCATGTGTACCGCGTACAGCCGACCACGACAGGAGCACACGTCCTGCATCGCGTACACGATAGGGCATCAGGAGCGGCACTGCGATATCGCGGCATGCCGAGCGCACGCAGCGCACTCGTGCGTGCGCGCACGATCACCGCGTACGCGTAACAATACTACTTATCCGTATCGTTGCGGACGACGGGCGGGCCGGTACGACGACTGGGCGGAAGGGTGGCGCAACCGCGCAACGCGCATGGGGACGTACGACCGGTGCGGCACGCGGGCGCACCTGTCCGCCGTTCACGTATTGCATCGTACAGGTACCGCAGCACAACCGGAGCCGCATCCGACGCGACGGCCGCGGCTTTCACAACTATGTACGTTGCGGCGCACGCACGCACTCACGTACCACCACCACCACCACCGTTACAACCATTACCATCGCCGCCGCCGCCGCCCGACTCACGGTGACTTCGCGTTCGCGTTCTTCTGTTGTTTTCTCTCCGCGCGAACCACTGAGTCTACGTCTGCGTGTACCCGTGCGACGGTCCATGTCTATGCGTGTCCGCCGTTCACTAGTCGTTTCTCTTTTCCGCGAACACAGCTGACGGCCTATCTGCTGCCTACTGCTGTCGCCACCGCAAGTCCCGGCCGAGCCGCCACCAGCTCAACACGAACGCATTGAACGGCCGTAGAACAGTTCTTCGGTTTCGTTTCCCGAAGTATCGCGTCTCAGCTGCAGCTCGTTGCGCGCCACTAGGTTTCGGTATACATTTATCACATAGTCATATCGACGTGCCAGGTGTTTTCGCGCCTGCCTGTCTCTCACTCGTTCTCTCTCTCTCTCTCTCTCTCTCACTCTCGTCCCGAAGTGGGAAAAACAAAATAAAATCGCTGCCGTGAAAAATTGCCAAGTGTCGCGAATTCGTCGACGGTGACGTCAGACCCGTGTTGTACGCGACACTCGTTGGAAAACCGTGAAAGGCGAGCGTTGCAGCGATTGCCCGCATCGCCAACGCTGCTGTTCGACTCTGATGACGGTTTGCCCACGTCTTCCGGTCACGCTTTTCCCGTCGAGTCCGCGTCTGACTGGCACGGAACAGTCGTTCGATCCGTTCATCGTACCGCGGTGCCCAGCTGAGTTTCGACGTCACGACTCGTTCTCAAGGTACGTAATCATGAATGAAAATATGCCGTCGACGTTCGCTGTGTCGTGCCGCAAGCAAGCACGCAATGTTTGTAAATTGTAACTTGTTATAATCAAACGGTATCGCCTATTAGTCAGTAGTACGCGCGTTTGCGGTCTACGAGAAAACCCGCCGAGTTTCTATTTTCGAGATTCGCTACTGAAAATTGTTCGGGGCCCGCGAGTAGGCCCGTTTCCCACGGCGTAGGTATAATATCCGCACGACTACGTACGAGTGTATCGTTTATGGCGTGCGTACGCCGTGCGTGTAGGTAGACAGGTGTGCGTGTGTACGCTGTATCCGTCAATGAACCTGTGTGCATCGGCGGCGATTGCTGCACTAATATTACACTCCTTTCACTGCGTATGTACACAAACGCGCGTGTATAAATGTATGTTTGCGCATGGAACGCGTAGATATGTACGTACAACGTATACTTAATAAATATTATGTAGGTACAGCGTACACCTGTTAATATGACGTTGTGGACCGTCTAAAGCCAAATCGAAATCGCCAGTCGTCTGTAAGCGTCTTATTCGCAACGCTGGAATCGCGGTCATAATTTATACAATTTAGCCCGGAGACTTAAACGCTGTTCGCGCACACACACACACACACACACACACACACACACACACGATACCTGGCACATTCCGAAAACCGAGAGAGCCGACGCGGTCTAATGTTATTAATTTTTGTTCGTATTAGGCGTGATATTGTAATATTATACAGAGAACGATATCCATAATACGTATAATGTATACGCGTATGTACCGTGATATCACGAGTGAAAAATCCGTGACACCGGCTGGTAGGCCAATAGAGTTTCGTTAGCTCTAGGTAGTCAACACCATTCAAGTATAATATATTATGATACGCACCTATATATATATATATATACGTAGATGCATGAATACATTACAGATAAATACCTAAACAATGAATCTATTATTATATACTTGTGGACACACTGGTTATGTATGCAAAACGTGACGTCGGAACTAATAGCACGCGTTGGGTAGTAAATACCTAATCGAGGCAAAGCGCGTATAAATTGTATGTATAATATTGTTATCGTTAATTAATAATTGATTTATATCTTGAACGTTGACGTATGTAGGTATATTATGTATGTGTACGAGTATTGTGTACACGCATTCAGGTTGCGATGCATGTGTAATATAGCGATGGAAAACGTTCTGGAATGTCAAAACGATCCGCAATGTTAGGTGTGGCATTTTGATGACCTTCGGTATCCATTATTATTTTGTTAGGTATTCACTAATTTCATGCCATGATACTGTATGTCACTGTAGTATTATGCTGCAGTATTGAAATATATGCTCAGTATTGCCATATGGTTCATAGAGCTTTTATCAGTACGAAAAAAAATCTACGTATTACGTGATGGAATAATAATTATTTTAATTACTATTCACCGATTTATAGTATATAAATATGTATGCGTGTATTATATAGTATTTTGTTCGGATAGCCCTCGGATATAGGTAAATAACCTATTCGGGTGAATGTAAGGTATATATGTAAGGTATATGGGTTCATTATCATATTTCGCAGTATGTCGAGGATAAAATGGAAATGTTTACCAAGTTATTCATGTTAAGAGTTATATTAAAACAATGTTCTCGCTATCGTTTAAAACCCTAATCGGTTTGTCGAATTAAAAAGTTGATAAAACTTTATAATAATACATGCAATAACATTTTCTTGTAAAAAAAAAAAAAAAAAAAAACATTTTTTATTTGATTACGATAATTTACAACATTTTTAATAATATTGCATGCAAATAATATAGAGTAAAAATGATTACTCTATAAAATTTTATGTTTATATAATTTTATATAGGTAAACTATATATTTAATATATAAATCACTTTTAGAAATTTCGTATTCTAGGGTAACATAAACAACAAACTTGTTTAGCTATATAAATTAATATTTTTGGCACCTGTATTTTATAAAATTGTTAAAATAAATATTATTTTATTTTTAATTTAAAAATTTAATTCGGTTAAGTTCTATTGAATTAAGTACATTTTAACTTTTGAACGTTATTTAACGTAAAACTGTCAATTCTATATTTTTGAGTAATTTTAACATATAGCGTATGATATACATGTAAACAACAAATTAAATAATAATTTGGTAAAAGCATAAGCATATTACACTGTTATTAATCAAAACTTGTTTCAAAAATAATAAAAATCAAGATTTAAATATAATTATACATCATTTAAAAATACTTGCATGTAAATATTTAAGTTCTTAGTGAATTGATAAGTATTACATTTGTATGGAACCGGAATAAATTGTTTAATTTAATATTTCCTGACGAGCATTACAAATAATTAAAAACATTTTGCAAACAATACGATGTTGAGATAAACTTATTATCAAATCTTTAAAACATAATATTAACCTTCGAAAAATTTCATTCTAATAAATGAAATTTTTTTCTTTAATACCTATCCTTAATTCATTTTTATAATCATTAGTATTATATTATTTATTTCTAATTTATGCGGCATTAAAAAAAAAAAAAAAAAATCTGTGAACCGAAAATCTGCTTGTTAGTGGAGAGCAACGATTTCGATAAGAAACACTTTTACGATAACGATTTCTCTTTATGATTTACTGTAAACCGACTAAACCTTGTCAATATTATTTCAACTTTCAAATCATCCCATATAAATCGAATAGCTATATAGATATTATAAACTATGCAGTTGTGTAACACTGGGAAGCTTCACACTGAGAAATTCGTAAACATTTTTTTGAAAACAATACTAAGATACCTAATGTTAATACATACGTTTCGAAATCAGTCGATATAGCGTTTCATTCTAAAAGAGTAATGTATTATAATATATAAATCAATATTTCACTGGATTAATTCATAGTATTTAAAATATTTATTGTAATATACTTTAATAAATATTTATAAATTTTTATTTTCGTCTTATAATTATGTCTAGTAAATACTATTTTAATGTAATGAAGTGATAATGACCTCTGATTGAACATGACCTCATAGGAATTTATTTGTTGGCAACGTATTCTGATTATAATGCTACAAGAAGTGAAATATAACCATAATCCATTCCAACAAATAGTTAAACTATTGTTATGAATACAATAAAATCAATGTGTTTTTAGGTAAAAATCTTAAAAATATTTCTCCGTAAGTTTTCAAAATATTTCGATAGACGATAAGTATAATAAAATGTTTGAAAGTAAAAAGTCATTAAATGAAAAACAAAAATATCATTACAGCTAATAGGTATTATATAGTTGCTCATGTATTTGTCTGCATAGTTTATCTTTTCTTAATGATTTTATATAAAAATAATGGGTATTTGACATAAAATAATATAACGTCAAGGTCCAATACTATCAAATGTAATTCAAATGAAATTCTTTGTATTTATAAACTCATTTTTGTACGAATGCAATTATATACGCGTATGTAAATGCGAATAATGGATAGCAAAAATGTTGTCAGAAAATAATAACACATCATTTAAAACCGGTATAATTTTTACATACTTATTAAACTTCGAAATCTACAAATACCAATACACTTGTTAATACGACGTCTGTGATTACTAACAAGTCGTATAATTTTTAATTTTATTCATAACAGTGCGTTAGAACTGCAGTTATTTTATACTTCATCAATCAATATTCAGTCATTCATACGTGTTTAAACGGACTGTTTTAAATCTGTACGTGACAAAATATACTAGGTAGTTAGTTAAGAATATTTAACTCACTTTGTTATTTTAGGTAATGAAATTTCAATTTTATGAGATTAAGGAACGTTATTACAATCGATCACTAAACATGCTCGATTAGCATGAACATAAAGCAGCCTGTTATTTTTTTTTTTTTTTTTGGTTTTACAATGATACATTAAGCTAAAAGTTGTAACTGATTGTTAAGTAGTGAGGACTTTTTTTGCGACAGCTCTTGTTCCATGCTAAATTGTTTAGAAGGTACCATAGACTACTACTAAGTGTTTAAAACTTGTTAATTTGTATTAGTTTTTACAAACAGTTACAAAATAACCACATTATAGAGTAATATTTATGTGAAACCATGTTTTTTTTAGATTAATATTTTTTTACAATAAATTATTACAGTATGTAATATCAGTATAATTTAACTTATTATTATTATTATAATATAACAGTAGGTATATATTATCATAATACAAATTTATTTTTGTATAAATAATACAAGTTTATTTTTTATTTAAGACAATGTTCATAAAAACAATATATTCTATTTTTACTTATTTTTTATTTTTATTTTGTACAGTAATATTAAAATATTATCATAATAAATAACAATTCTAAAATGAGAGTGAACAGATATTAGTAATAATTTTGATAGTTAAATTTGTTTTCTTAAATTAGGTATTTTACTTACTATATAGCTATACCATATTATAATCATATTTTATAAAGGAAAGATAATTAGATATGTTTTAAACATTTGGTATCTAGGGTTTAGATGACATAAATTGTATTTCAAAATTATAAATTCGCTGTATCCTGAACGGGTACATATACAATCAGCATGGCACAGCGGTAGACAACTGGTTATATATATAAGTATATGCATTAAATAGATATGTAACCCGGACTAGAGTTGAACCGTGTCAAGCATAGCTACATTCCGGATGGGTGACGATACTCTGAATGCCAATTGCACATTCTCTCGGATGAAAGAATATTGTGCTAATAGATGTATAAATAAAAATGACCTTAAAATGATATAGATATTATCAATGAATTACATCAATATCAAATTTATAAGACATCACTTTTAAAATGTTTATATAAACTGTATATAAAATATTGTTATTTAAAAAATGTTATAAATGTACCAAGGAAAGTGAAAGAATCTGATAAGAGTTTTATTATTGTTGTTAAGTGTATAATTGTTAATAGTTAATGTAACGAATTGTTTCGAACAATAAACGAGGCCGTTTGACTGTCTGAGCAATGCGAAAGTAGTTTCCCCGAGCATTAGTAGTTTTCTTAAAAATAAAAAATAAAAAATAATGATAATAATAATAATAATGTAGGTGATTCAAGTTGAAATAACCTGAGATTTACACCGCATATGAAAAAATAATTATAGTTTTATTTATTAATAATACGTACTGTGATAAAATATTAATATTTTTTTACTAAAAATACATGTATTATTAAAATATTTTAAAGTCAAAAAATCGACTAATGTCATTCATACTTTTTATTATTTTATTTTTATATTAAAATACGAGAAAGTATTATTTTTTCAAATTTATACGAACGAGCATGTTTATATATTAATTTACGAGTATTAACCATTTACTCATTTTTATTTTATTATTTATTATTTTGTAATTTTTACATAATTTTGTATTAATTTAAAGATAAAATCTTCAATAAAAATATTTGAATGACACACAACAAGATGACATGAAGTATTTTATAATAATAATATGGTTTAATCATTATGTTTTATAACACACATGTGACACTGTACAAATATTTACCATATCTTTAAATACCTACTTTGTTTATTAATTTTTTCCTTCAGAATTATTTCAGAAATATTTTAATATCTAGTTTTATTTATACGCAATTAGAGGTAAAATAATACGAGAAATGTACTCTTTAAAATAGTATAGGTACAGATATTCGTATAAGTACTTAATTTATATGAGATTTTACCTAACACTGTTCGTTTTTTATAGATAATTAACATAAAATAAATAATATTATTGCTGATATGAAATTCAAAGTTTCAAATATTATATTGTATTTAGAAAATATAATTTACCTATTTAAAATAAAATACTGTACTTAACTACTTTCTTAAACATTATTTTTAATGCAAACAAAATAGTTTTATTACTTTTAGTTTGTTGTTATTAATTTGAGGAAGGCTTTAAAATCGTCGAAAGTTACATATAAGAAAAATATTTGCATATTTACTTTTTAATATTAACATATTAATATGTATTGATGACGAATTATATTTATTGAGTATATATTTTAATTGAGGTATACATCTCTAAATATATTTAAAATAATACTAAGAAGATATATTTTCTATTTTTATTATCTTATACTTATTAATTAAGTTTTTTTTTTTCAATTTTTAGTTATTCTGACCGTACATGTTAATATCTAATCAAATAATAGAAATTATTCGACCTTTTTATTTAATTGTGACTCACACATATTAATATATTATAGAATATGAAATGATATTATACAAATAGCAATATAGATAATCTAAACACGCATTATTATATGCTAGACTACATATAATACATACAATATACTAATTTACTTTTAATTGTATATGGTTTGGGTGTGACAAAAGAAACGCTTCGAAATTAATTTCTACTTAGAACACCTAATATAGTACTTATTTATAAGTTTCAATTATTTGCGATGCAGTAAATCATTATAGTATTTGATAGAAAAAATAAAAACCTTTTTTAATACAACAATTTCTAAAATATGTTATTATTAAGTACATTAGAAGCCGTTTATCAGGAACACTTTTGGACCAAGATGAAATTTGTCAATTAACCGATTGTTTAATCGTAATGAAATATTAATTTAATTGTATAATTGAAAAAAAAATTATCTACTGAGAAAAAAAAATGTATATGTTTAGTAAAATATGTATTTATCGTTGTCTGTTGTTTTGCGTGGAATTACTTGATGATCATGGTTTCGTAAGAATAATGTTGCCAAAGCTTTTTTCATGTGCATGATGCAGGACTGCTCTCCTGAGGACACTTAGAGCTTCTAAAATTTTTTTACTTTATGGGGATGCCTCACTTTTTTCTCCTTCATCGTCATTGACAGCATATGTTAAATTGTTTGAGGATTCATAACCACATTGCAGATTTCTTCTGTTGGAACCTTTGCAACATTGAGGTGTGAGTCCACATTAATCCAATGTTCATACACTTCTTCCAAAAGTTCGACTAGTATCGTAACAACAAAAGATAAAGTATATTGTAATTACAATACATTGGTTATCGCCAAATTACCGTAATTTTTTGACGACTTTGGCACTTGTTGTTTCAAATAACCGATGTGTTGTTTCAATAATCCGATTGGTTTACAATGTTTTAATATAAAGCCGATCCTTTCCTAGACATTTTGTTCAATAACGCGATTATATCAATTATCCGCGTTCTTAATAAGCGGCTTCTATTGTAATAGTAAATATTTAAAATAAAATGACATAACATTTTAATTTTTTTTATAATTGCTATGTGAGTAAAGAAAGCTCACATAAAAATTTATAAAATGCTACTTTATAATTTTAACTATCAAAATGAGAATTAAATTATTGTAATACATTTATATTATGTTTTCTTAGTATACTTACTCTAAATTATTAATTTATTTTATTTCAGGGTTAGATGTTGCCTCAACTTTTTATTTTAAGAAATGCCTGGATTGAAAGATATGTCGATGCAACATCAAGAGAATAATAAAAAAAGGTACACTAAACATTATTTGAACTATTTAAAATATTATAGTAATTTATATAAATATTAATATTTTAGAGAATTAAACGAAAAACCAATCATGCCTTACCACCGAAACAGTGTAAATTCAAATGGATACTCTACTGGTAATAAACGCATACCTACTTTGGAGTTACCAATTAATAACAATTTTTATTTATTTTTTCTTATTTTATAATTTTAGACGGAGGCCAGCAAAGTATCGTTGGTGAAGAGAGAAACGGTGATGAAAATAATTCGGCTCCAACCTACGTGATAGAACATTTAGCTACATTTACAGTTTCTAAAAGCACTGGTATAGTTTATCCAGCAGATGGCATGAGAAGATTGTTACATTTAGAAAAATCCAATGGTATTTGGTCACAAAAGATGCAACTTCGCCTCGATCAATCTTGGGTATTAATAATGGATTTTGAAACAGGAGTAAGTAATAGTAAAATTACATTTTATACATTTATTAGTTATTGTGTATACTTGTATTAGTTTCTATGTAAAAAAAAAAAAAAAGATATGTGTATAATAATAATATATTACATCTGACTTAGGTTGTAATGGAACGATTTCCAATTTCTTTAGTCAAAGAACCAACAGCATTTACAAGTAACGATCCAATGGAAATTTATAACAACATTCTAGTATTTGTGGTTGGCCAAGTTGATTCGCGGTCAGAGATGCACATATTTCAAGTAAAAAACTTTGTTTTTTTGTTATTATTATTAAGTATATAATAGATACATAATACTTTAAGTGGATTGAAGTAAAATTAAACAAAAACTTTACTAAGTAAAATTATAAAGTATCCTTCGTAGTGGATATATGTCATTTTTAACAATAATTAAACATTTTTATTTAATAAAATGGCATAATAATTGCAAATTTTAAATTAATTCATTTTTTTTAAATATTATGTAGTTACAACATATACATCGAATTTAAGATGTCTTTGTTTAACTCAATTTTAATATTGTTTTTAATATACATCTTACATTATGCTATTTAACACGACATTAAAATTTTGCAATTTTTAATTTAAAAATCAATCTATAATTTGGGATATCAAGCTTCATAAAGGTTAAAAGCAGTTTTAGCTCAATAAAAGTTTATTTACAAATACATTTTAGCAAATTAATATCAAGCAGTCAAGTGTTTTATTTATTTAATTACGTTTGAGTATGCTATTATTACATTTTAATTATCTATATAATATAATTTCACATTAACATTTTTCATATTGTTTTAGTGCCAAAGTGTGCCAGCACAAGAACTAGTTGAAGATTTAAAACTATTGAGATCCGGCAAAGGAATTAATAGAAAATCTAGACATGTGCCACCACCTCCTCCGACACCCCCACCAAATCCTCCATTAAACGGTGTTAGTGTTCGAGAGCAAGTATCTGTTTTTAATGCTGTTGCACACCGTAAGTATATTTTATAAAATATATATTATATGTATAAATACATTTAAATAAATTCAAAAAGGTTAGTGTATAGTAATATATAATAAATATGTATATTAAATGCCATATGATTGTTTTAAAATTCTTTCTACTTTATCATGTGTTTTCAATCAGTTTTTTAATTTTTTAATAATAATGAAAGATTTACTAAATCCATGTACTTACATTTAAAGAACAGAAAATTTAATATTTTAGATTCTGATAATACTACTCGAGTTGATGATGAAACAAGCTCTACGTCCAGCGAAAAATATGAGAGAGATGTTATAGTACTGAATCACTGTTTTGATGATATTGAGAAATTCATTGCTAGATTACAACATGCTGCAGCTGCATCTAGAGAGCTGGAACGCCGAAGAAGGTGATTTTAAAATAAGCTAATCTATATTGTACAAGTTGTTATTTAATTTGTACGTGTTTGTAAAGAAACCGAAAATCCAAAAAGAAGGACATAGGTGACGGAATGCTTACAATGCGAGCCAAGCCACCTCCAGAAATTGAGTTTATTGATATTTTTCAAAAATTCAAACTCTCATTCAATCTCTTGGTAAATATATAATATTTAGTTAAAATAAATCCCAATACTGATATACATCTACCAATATGAAATAAGTTTTAAAATAAAGTTATTTTTTAGGCGAAATTAAAAGCTCACATCCATGATCCGAATGCCCCAGAACTCGTACATTTCTTGTTTACTCCATTAGCATTAATTGTTGATGCATCCCATGACACGCAATATAAACCAAATATTCCGTCTAGAGTTGTATCGCCATTACTCACAAGAGATGCAATTAATCTCTTGATGAACTGCGTTACAAGCAAAGAAACTGAGTTATGGCATTCACTTGGTGACGCGTGGCTTATTCCAAGGTATTAAATTCCCTTATTCTTATATTTTTTACGTTGTAAATACTATTTTTTTTTTTCATTATGACAAATTTTATTTTATAATTTTAAAATCAACCATAAGAAATTATTTTTAATAGAGAGCAATGGAAAGGCTATGTGGCTCCTTACCATCCTATTTTTATGGATGGTTGGTCACCAGAGTATCCAATTCCAGTTTCTGATGATCATTTAACCAATGTACCAACTGCCGGTGTACCAGAATCAAAGAAATCGAGAGATGAAGTTAAAAATTCACATCCAGACGTAATTGTTTAAATAATTTCGTTTAAAATTATAAATAAAGTTATTATATTCTTTCTTCTTATTTAGGGAGAATTACGAGATACTCAATATCATCATCGAGATCGAGAACACGCAGTGGTTGGTGATGACAGTAGTGACTATTTTGAATACGAACAAGAACAACCAGCTATGATGGGTATTAGACCACATTATACATTTAACACTAGTGGAAATTATGCTGGACACCACCAAGAGCAGTTTGGACCAGATGATAGGTAAAGTATCTCAATTTTATGATTTATTTCAATATTTTACTAGAAAATTATATTGGTATTACATGTTAATTATATACTTAAGTGTTATAAAATATTAACAAAAATATTTACTAATTTTTAATGAATTATTATTTCTTGTGGTTTATTATGTGTATGTATTTTTATGAATACCTATGATATCCAATTATTTCTCGATTACAAATAAATTGAGATTGTTATAAACAAAGGGTGTCTTAATTCACAAAAAAAAAAAAATGTGTTTTGAATGTATATGATTATGATATAACTTTGATTTTAATATTTACAAGGTTATAAAATAATTAAATAATCTTATTTGACGACTGAAATAAGATATTATATGATTTTTTAATAAATTAATATCTCTAAATCATTATTTATACTATTAATTTATTATTTTATATACCACGAAGTTTAAAATTGAACAATTTGTCTAAATTTAATACTTATATGAGCAATTTTGTTTTACAGGGATGATTCACGTAGTTTAGAAGGGGAGTCTGAACCTGATTTTAATACGTTGTCGCTTCATAGTCCACCAAGAATGGATAAAGAACGTCCAGATATAGCGGCACGTAGTGACATATCTGCTGATTCAATTGAGCGTAATAACACCGGTGGTCCGGGCAGTGAGCGGTTTGAAAGAGCACAGGCTAGATGGTTGGAAGATATGAGAGCTCGTGGAGTGAAAATAGTTCAAGTCACTTATCCCAGAACAGCAAACAATGACAAGGAACTATCTGTTGTTCGCGGTGAATTATTAGAAGTAAGACCCTATATAAAATATATTACAGTAAATTTCTCACTGAATTGATATGTTGAACAAAAACATGTAATTTAAATGTAATACTTAGCTTATAATATAATATTATAACAAAAAAAAAAAAATTAATATTTTGACTATTTTATTTGAATATTTGACTTGATAAAAATGGTTTTAAATTAAAATATATAAATACGGACTAATAAGAAACTTTTTATTCTCTAAAATCAACTGTGTTCGTAATGGTTTCTAATATTTATTTTAAGATTTTGGACGACAGCAGAAAATGGTGGAAAGCTCGAAACAACCGCGCACAGGTGGCTCACGTGCCTCATACTATTGTAACGCCATTTAATCCAATGTTGGATGCTAACGATATATTTACAAATCCAGTGTACGCCAAAGGTTATGATAAGAGATCGACCTCACAGTCACAGAATTACTCATTGCAAGTAAGTTGTAAACTTAATTTTTAATTAGCTTATTAGATATATCTTGAGTACAACTAAATTTTAGTGTATGTTTCTCTCTCTTCTCCTATTCAACCTTATAGTTGGGTTTGCAATCTGATATGCACAGTGGCGCACAGTAGATTTTTGCAAGGGTATCGAAAATATATATTTCGAGGTACCCACCCACCCCCACCAGTAAAATCTGAGTTTAGACATAATATAACTCTTAATTTTAGATGTTTTTGGTTTTTTCTTTCTAACAAAGATACTAAAAATAAAATTTTTTTAAATAAACCTAATATTAATTATTTTTTGGATAGCTGAAAAATTGGTTAGTATTAAATGAAACAAATATTCATACAAGTTCATACAGAACTAATCATCCACCAATTCTTTGAGGGGTGTCAGTTGACACCCCTGATCCCCCTGTGTGCGCCACTGAATATGCACTCTCTCTGCTTCTAGCTAATCTCTTTAGTTCTGTGTAATTTGATAGTCTAGCATCGGAGATTATTTGTTCAACAAATAAAGTTCTTGGATTTCCTCGGTCTTTCATCTTCAATTTTCCCTTCTTTTATTCTATAAGCTAATTAATTTCCATGCCTCAATATATGTGACTAATTATGTTCCATCTCTTAATTATTTGAGTATGAATACTCGTAGTATCGTAATTATGATTATTTTATTTGCTTATTAATCCGTATTAATTAAATATGAATATAATCATGTACCTTATTAATGTTTGTACACTATAAACAGTGATAAATTTTAAATAAGTTTAAGATTAGTTTCTTTAATGTATACTATAGTATTATATGTTACAAATTTATGAATAATATACGTATTAAGATTTAAGATCCACTTATATATTTTATTTGCAAAAACTAAACGAGTATATATATATATAAATATAATAAATTTTACTGTGTGGACGAAAGGATTCGAACACTTCCGCAGTTATAAAATTATTTATTAATTTTTATTATTTTACAGGAATCCATGAAAAGTGAATTTGTTGACCAAAGCATGAGTTCTGAGCCGTCTAGAAGTGCTTCTATAGTACCACCACCAGTACCAGCACCAGCTGATTGGGTACGAAAGGAACGGATTGGTAAAAAAGGAGAATTCCGCTATTTTTAATAAAAATATTGACGTAATTGAACTTAATTGACAATAATTTTTTATTATACTTTTATTATTATTCTTAAAATAGAGGCATATTTTTTGTTTTTTACTTACCCATTTTGTTATCAAATTTGTTTTGTGAATATATACATTATGATATTTTATAATGCAAATTAGTCGTACAAGATATTTTAACTAATTTTTAAAATATAGTTGTCTATTACATAAGCTATATAAAAAAACTAATCTATAAAAAAAAAAAGTTATTAAAAAAATTTGATTATGATGTTTGTAAATGTTTTAAATTAATTAATCGATGATTAACTACATATTTTAAATACGTTGTTTAAGTAGTTTAATCTATAACGTTCAAAATATAAGTATAATTAAAATTTTAAAATTGCATTATTTACATTACATTATCGTCATTGTACGTAAATACAATAATGTTAACAAAGCCATTAGGTTAAATAATGTTATCTAAAATAATTCGAATAGTATTAAAATAATTTTTTTTCGATATCTTGTTTTATGATTTAATGTAATTACTAGGCATTTATGAATCTATTTTTAATACTAATGTTAGATTCCTTAAACTTAAACATTTATTAAATTATTCTATAATCAATCAATATTTAAGTTTTATTTTCTAGGCTTATTTGTTCAGCATTTTTTTAAAAGCGGTTTGTGTTTTAAATATTTCTAGAGTTTTGTATGTTCAAACACAATATCAAGTCCAAAGTTAATGATATAATATTATAATCAGATTTTATTTTTATACTTTAATACTGAAATAATTTTATTTTATTTACCTAGTTATATCATAGGCATTTTATGTTAGCGAATTATTTTGTTATAGATTAATTTAATTTATTAACTTAATATGAATCAATAGGTAATTTATATTAATTGAAGATACTATATTTGTCCCAGTACCGATATACAATTACCTATTGGCATAATATTATTTTATTACACTGTTATTAGAATAAATAAATTGTTTTTATTTTTGTTATGCATGTACCATACTTGCATTATTTTTTATAATAGATATAATATAATTGGAATAATCTTTATTATGCAAATATTTTTATAAATATATATATATATATGATATATTTGTGTACAACAATATTTTTGCTCGACAAGAAAAATAAGAATTTTTAATATTGCATGAAAAATATTGATTTATTTATTTTATTTTATCATTTACATTTTAAAACACATACTTCAAGTAACTCAATGTTGTTTTATATTTTTTGTAAAAACAATACCAAAGAAATATGAAAATAATTTTTATACTGCAATAATAAACGTCATATATTTGTAATTATTTAGTAGTTTTTTCTTTTATGTAAAATTAGTAAGTATTGTTTATAAACATTTCTAGCTCTCACATTATTATCATGTTATGTTGATAAAGGTAATTAACTAATATTATTTTTATCAATAATTTTTAATAAATGTCGATTTATCGACAATATCTAACAGAATAAAAATCAACTAAAATGCAATACCTATTTATACATATATATATATGTTATTTATCATTTTTTACTCACCTATTTTGAATTCTAGTATCCATTGGTAGTAGTCATAGACCTTATCATAGAAAAGAGTATAAGTGAGTATAAGGTCTATGGTAGTAGTACAAAATATTCAATTGATTTCTATTAACAGTAGTAGCTTTTTAAAATAATACATATTTGAACAATGTGATTCTTAAAAAATATTGAATTAGTGAATGGGCAATTCTAGGTGGGTATTTACAGTGTTGGTCATATTTTTTGAATTATAAATTAGTTGTTATGTTTGGTTAGTTACTGAATTCTATCTATAGGAGAAAAAAAATGTTTAATTTAGGCAATGACCTATCAATACATCTAAACAGATCATAGACTTAGCCAGGAGGACTGGAGGTTTTACAAATGCATATCCTGAATGTTTATAAAAAAAAACAATTAATTTTCTAGTCTTTTGGAGATCGATATTTTTCTTTATAAGTTCACTTTTGCACATATACAGCTTTCTTGCATACCCTGAACACGAAGTCTGACCATGCCTATAAAAGAGACTCAATAAATCTATGCTCTATGTATACATATATGTGTCCAGTGATGTACTTAAATGTAGGCACTAAATCCATAGTAATAAAAGACTTATTACCTATAAACCATAGTATCGTACAGTAATTTATAATATTTAAAACGAATGGTTTTTAATGATGCAAGTTAAATATTTAGTTATAATAATTGGATTAAGCAACAATAAAAAGGAAAATCATTTTTTTAAGATTAAAATGAGTAATGACCAACACAAAATTATTATTAATAAAACAATTTGATTCCACTAAAACAAATTTATACTACTCTCACTAAATTTCGCCAAAAATAAACTAAGTAATTTTGCTGTTAGTACTAATAGCACACTTCACTTTCCTTGGAATTTTGAATTACTTATAATTCAAATAAAATACATAAAAAATGGCATTGGCTTCATACAAACACACATTACACAAATAACAAACACAGAAAATAAATAGGCGTACAAATATAAAATTTATTTTTTCATTTGTTATGGTGTGGATAAAATAATATTTTTATTACAATGAAACTTAGAAATGTATGGTTCACAAATAAATTATATATTTCATTTTTACTATTTTATGGTACATAATATCAAACAATTATATATTATCTATAAAGTTATTAAACTTCACAATTAAATAATAATTTTGCTCGAATATGCGTGTACAAAACATGAGTATTAAATAAAACATTTACTTAAAAGACAACATGCAAATATAGTGATGATTGTTATTTTTAAACAAAATAATTATAAGTTAATATGTGTATGAAAAATACAGAAACAATATTTCATGATGCTTTCAATATATATGAGCACAATGACGTATCCAGGATTTTTCTTCATCCGCTGTAAGTCACATTACAAAAATACTATAGGCAATATAACATAACTAGTGGCGGGCCGGGTATCTCAATTCATATATTCTAGTAGTAATTAAATGTTTTACTATAACAATTTGTAAACGGATATAAATCATTTTTATTAGTATGACACTACCGAAGCCCGGGAGAAGATTACTTCTTGCCATCCTAACCAGTCTGCCACTAGTTATAACTGCAAAATAAGTATTGAAAATAAAAATAAATTTATGACTTTATTTGGTTATAGTAACAGCGTACTTATGTATTTTATATTATTTATGATTAAGATATATAATTAAAGATTACCTAACATTTTGGAGGAGGGAGGATGATAAAGTTCCATGGATACGCCACTACATGAACAGTAAACACGACATTGATGTTCGCTATAAATTAGACAATTTTTAATTAAAATAAGTGTGAATATATGTGTAAATCTAACATTTTTACAAGTTAATTTTTTTTCAACTGACCAAAAATGTAATGCTTTTTTTATTTATGATATTCAAAACTATACTAAGTGTTTAGTATGTGATATTAAAATAGGTAACGATTCGGTGTATACAGTTTACACGTAAAATTAATAATTCAAAATAATAATACAATTATATTAAATCCATACTCTATTAAATAAAAATTCCAAAAATTAACCTGTGTTGATTTAACCCGTCACTAAAAAAATGTGTCATTTAATAAAAGAAATTACTAGATTTTTTATCAGCACATTTATTATTATACTGAGAGGAGAGGATCGAGCATTTCAAAGCTGTACGAATATTTTAATTAATTATACACTTGATCATATTAGTTGGAAAGATGTAGACTTTCATTTTGATTAGGAAAGTTGTCAACATTTTGGAATGCTTCCTCTTTAAAATGCACAAACACAAAACCACCCCATAGGCAAACAAAAGTATAATTTAAAATTACGTCTTGCTGTTCATAAATTTCAATTGAATTGTAAAAATCAATACATTTTATAAATAATTATTTTGTGTATTTATGAATTAAATGTATATGTGTATACAAAGATTAATTAAATAAATAATAAATACATATGATACTGAATGCTCTGACTATTAATAGGTAATTTAAAAAAAAAATAACAATAAATCTGAAAGTAATACTTTTATAAATTATTACAATAGTAATAGTAAGAAAAACGACCAAATATTAAATCGAAAATCGTTTACACATCTATACTAATCAGACTTTAAAACATTAAAACAAAATTCGTTTGTCATAAATTACAGTCAATACCGTCATGTTTAAAACAATTACATTTTGGCACGACTTATCGGCGAGTGTAGGTTTAGACATACAAAATGTAAAAAAATACAAAAATTAATTGAGCAAATTCAACATTTAAATGTTTCCTTACTCATTGGTTCGTCAATAATTTAAACTTACAGAACTCCAGAGTAAAAACAACGAGTTCATTAAATAATTGTTTTAAACAGTATACCTTGAAATTTCAACAATAAATGTTTTAAAAGAAAGTTTAGTACAAAGGCATGGTAACTCTATGAAATTAAATATGTAGCTGTATGTAGCTGTATACACCAGTTATTTAGTGACAAATTTGTTAAAAAATTATAAACGCCGAGAAGTAAATATGAAATTGGGCAGCGTTACATTTAAATATATATAACTACTCTATAATAAGTATAAAAATTGATTTATGGAACTTGAAGGATTTTTCAACTAACCACAATAAATAGGAAAATAATAATAATTTATAAAATTAAGGCCACACACATAAGACTAGTAAATAAAGACATAAAACATAATGGTAAATTTATACATTGGACCATAAGGGAAAGATTATAAATAAGTAGGCAATAAAGTTAAAATCTATAGTTGTAAACATATATAGTGTAGCTTAAAAGTCTGTAAACATTTTATAAAGTTTGTACATGTGATTTCTATACTTTTTAGACAAACAATATATATATTGTTGAATATATAAATACATATATTTGTAAATAAAAAATGTATTTATAAATTTTAACATTCTAAAAAGAAATAGAATCTTTTGGGTGATAATTTCTTAAAAAAAAACTATGGTGATACATTTCTATTTAGATATAGATATGTAATTGAACCACTAACTGCAAAAAGTAATGAATTTTTAGTAAACACAAGTAAATACATATCGAATACAAATGAGACAAATCAAATGATATAAGCATCTGAAAATATTATTTACTACAGAAATGTGATAAATCGCTTTGTTTTTTATTATTTTTGTAATAATTAGAAAGAGTCCCTAGTCAGTTAGTGATTCAATCAGTCTACCTTAAGTATTTAATGATTAATATCATAATCAATACATTGAATTACAAAACGTAATTGTTTAATAATTAATTAAATTATTAATTTACTATATTTCTTTGATTTAATAAGGTGTTTTATTTAAATACATTTTTTGATTCATTCCCAAAAACAATTCAAACAATCATTAATTGTAAACCAACCTAGAAAAACCACCAGTCTTCTATCTCTAAATTAGAAAATGAGTGTTAATTTCTTACACGTGTGTATCATAAACAGAATTTATGTTTATTATGCATTTATATGAATATTAAAATAAACATTCGAAATTCAATTTATCTTAATACATAATATAAAACAGCCTTAAATTAGTATATATTTACATATTAAAATTCTAATACAATTTGTCTACTTTATTTTTTTATTGACTAGTATTAAACTAATATACATTATTATATATTTATATATTAATGTATAATGTTAAATTATTATTATAATCTTAAACTATTAAATCAGTAGCATTTAATAGATAAATATATAAATATTGGTGCAACATAAAGCTAAATATAGACTGGAAAATCAACTGTGCATTAATATAAACTTTTTTTTCATATAAGTACAAATTAGTTCTTCAATTTTTTTATTCTATAATATTTACTCATTTTAGAATAACTTACTTCATACCAATGATAGTTTTATGTTTTCTTAACATAATATAATATAACATATAATATGTTATATATTTTAGTACATTAATTAATGGAACTAATATACATGAAAATTAGAAATTATGGCACTGCTATAAACGAATTGCATTCTTCATTGGAATAATAAATCTAAAGATTAAAATATAATGAATAAATTATTAAAACAAAAATATAATGGTAAGCAATATTTTTGAAATTAGTATAATATTTTCAAATAAATATAAATACAATATTTTTTTATACTTTATTTTAATTTAATGATATGTTAGGGGAACAACACAAAAATAGGATCATAATAATTTTATTTATTAATAATCAACTGTTAATTTCATAAGATTTGTATGCATTTGACAATTAATATGGTTCAATAACATAATTACATAATAATTTTATAAAGAAAAATCATATTATACATTTCACATTAAACAACCATCTAAATTTAATTTGAAATCTGAATATAATTTTTTAATTTCATTAAAAAAAGAAAAAAATGGTTTTGATTTTAATTTCTGATAATTGTGTAGGGATATTGGAAAGCACAAAAATATTAACTAAAACTACTTATTGGTCTTCAATAATATATTGGAAGTATTAAAATATATTAAAAAAAAGAATTTATTGATTTAAGGTCAATAAAATTATATATATATATATATATATATATATATTTTTTTTTTTTTTTGTGTAAGGTTTGGCAGTTAAAAAGAAATTAATATTTGGCATAATTCTAAAGTAAGGACTGTTATATGTAATTGTTATTATTTTATTTTACATATAAAATAAGAATCAGGAAAAGAGATATTATACATTTGAATAAGATATAACACTAGTTTAAACCTAATTTGAAATAAATATCATGATTTTTAGTTTTGATAAGAATTTGATATTTTAAAACGTTAACAAATTTAAATAAATATAAATATTTTTTAGTTATATTTATATATTATGATTAATATTTAACTTGAAATTTTCAAACAGAAGAATTTTAAATTCTTATAAAACAAATTGGAAAAATTCTTTAACTTAATTTCAGTTGAAACATTGGGACCAAACCCATTTTTCCATGTTAAATGGTTAGCTATTTAAATCGAACTTAGTTCAAAAACATCAACATTTTTAATATCGAAAAGTTTTTATTTTGTACACGTAGGAATAAAATTAGAAAAAATGTAAAACAAATAAATAGACAAATATATGTGCAAACAATAATGAATATATTCATAGGCCAATAATTTCTTTAAAATCACTACATTTTATTTGTGGGAAAGATCTTTTCAGACATAATTGAAAACATTCCCGACGCGTTAAAATTCAAGGTAAAACTGAAAAAATTGTTTTTGAGTTAGGGAAAGAAAGCTATAAGTTTATTGTTTATTTTATATTTTAATTTTTTTTTATTTTGTATTCCTCTCGATATTTGAATTCACCATTTGTTTTCAATTAAACTTACAATAATATCCCATTAAGGTATAAAATTTAATGATTTTATTATTTTTAATAAACAGAATCTCATAGGAACAATGAAACGCAATTGTATTAGATATTAATATATATTCTAATTTTATGATAAAATACATATTTCCTACATAAACTGAACAAAATATCCATATTATGTGGTATTTTTTAATCTAGTTAGTATTAATAGGATTTGGGATAGGACCATATTTTCTATACTAAGAAGATTTCCATATTAAACAGTGCCCACGTTAGACGGAATCCACTGTATATTTTATAGTATTTTAAAGTTACAAAAATATGAAATGTATATTATGGTTATATATCTTCACATATATAACTATTTTAAGTGTTCTGAGGATAAATACACTAAATAATTGAAGAATTATAATTAAAGAATCACAATCAACAAATAAGTGCATTATGAGTTAGTGAAGTTAGCAATTAAATTTTAAATGGTTTTTAGATAATGAATTATTTATTTTATCGGAATAATTATCTACTGAAATAATGAGAAATGGTGTGGTTAATTCAATACACATAAAAACTTAAGAATTTAATAATAGTATGACATTTTAAAAAATCAAAATTTAAAATAATTTTATAGTGATGAATACATATGGTTCACAGGTAGTATCTCAATTCTCATTTATAAGAGGTTGGAAAAAAACATTTGGAAAAATTGCTTATTTTAAAATCAAATTTACGGTGGTTAATTTTTCATTAATATTTTCATAAAAAACGTATTGTTTAAAAAATATACAACTTATTTAGCAATTAATTATTTTTTAAGACAAAAATAATTAAAATATCATGATAATTTAAAGTTAACTAAAATTAATTGTAATACAGAAAGAATTAAACAGTTAAAATAATAACTTTAATCTGAAATGTAAACATTGGATTCTGTTTTAATAAATATAAAATTAATAAAATTAAAAATAAAATCTTGAATGTAATTCAACTTTACTGACACAAGTATATTTTATTAAGTAACTTTGGTTTTTTTTTTTTAAATAAATCAAAGACCATAATATTTAATGGTTTTAAATTTTATTTGGTGGCCTTTTTACAAGTAATTACATTATATTAATAATCCAACCAAAATTTTTCATATTAAATAAATAGTAGACAACCGGATTGTTTTGATAAATCAATAAAAATATATATTCGAAGAATAGTGTAGAAATGTAGAAGTTTTCAATCAATTCAATAGAAAAAATAATTAGAAACCTTGAAATAAAGTATTTAATGTCTATCCAACTACCAAACTGTACTAAATGTGAATTTTAATTGATTCATTTGAGCCATTTTATTTTAAGGTGGGTGGTATCTTAGTATAATTTCACATTATTCTGTAAACACGGTACAAATTATAAGTATAGTAAATTAATATATTGAAAATAGAATCATATTTGAATAAAAGGAGGGTTGAGGTAAATTATTACATCTAATTAAAGTGATCTAATGAACACATAAACATAATTTCAACATACACAGAATTGTAACATATAACTGTTAGCTTTAAACTATGGCAATAATAATTATGGCAATTCACTATTCACTGATCTTAATAATTTAATATAATGTCAAGTACGAAAAAAATATTTAAAAATTATTTTTAACTAAAATTATACTTCCCGTAAATGTTAAATTATTAATTTCACTGAGAAAATGAATATGATAATGTTAGTCAAGAAAAAATTCAAATTTTTACAATTTAATGAATAAAAACCAAGCATTTCACTTTTCATTAGGTTTACATGTAAATAAAATAATAGATTTTTATAGCTGAAAAAAATATGTTTATATAGATTTATAAGTTTAATATTAAAATTTTTTGTTTAAAAATACCTTGTTGTTCTCAATATTTTAATGGAATGTCGTAGTATATCTAATAAGTTATAATCTACATTAATTAAAACATATTGTGGAGTTAAAATTGAATAAACTGAAAAAAGTATGTTATTGATAATTATTTACTGGCGCAAATATAGGAGAGTAGAAAGGGCATTTTTGCCTTAATTTGTTAGGTGGTAAACACTTGACTGAAACTAGATGGTCAATTTTGAGGCATAATAATATGCATACATCGATAAACTTATATTATGTAATAATATATCATAAGAGCGCTGTGACTAATCAATAAATTTATATTAAAATTCTTTAAATTAAAAATAAATATTATATATATGAGTTCCAAGAAATTAATAAAATTTATACTTTAAATGTATGACAAAATCATGCATGTCACAAAAGGCTGCTGTTGATAATGTATTTGTATAAAATATGATGTAAAAAAAATTTACTGGGTAGTATTAGTAAATAATAACTATTCATAAATCATTATAAATTAAAATAAATGTAATAAAATATACTGTAATTATATTTATTGAAATTTATATCAGACATTACTGAACTGTAATTTAAAAAAATAGAAATGAAAACAAATCAAGATCATGCATTTTCAAAAATAGCATAAAATCAGTAAAAAACTTTCTTGGATATTAATAAATTAACTCTCATTAATCTGATCAATCACTAATACTGATTAAAAAAATTAGATTTTTTGAAGGGCAAAGCAAAAAGTGTTAGCCATTGGAAATTCAAATATTGGATACGAAGAAAAATTACTACAAACAAAATAAAATGTAAGAAAACTATAGATTAAATTCATTATACATTAATACTTAATTTACAAAATCTATTACTTTTAGTAAAATGCAATATTGTTGTTGCAAGCAACAGAAATGTGATTCCAAATATGTATTATTTTAACAACTTAATAATAGTAATAGAAATAAAATATTAAGCATTTTAAAATAAATTAATTCTAATCAATCAAAAAAACGCAAGCAATATTCAAATTAAATAATTTAAAGAAATAACTAAAAGAAATTTTTGTAAGAAATATTTTAAAATAAATTTTAAATACCTATTTATTATATGAATTGAATAGAGTATAATAATTTCCAATACTGTGGTTATATCAATTACTGAATAAAGTTTAAATTGTAAATATACAATAAATAGTCGTGTTCATATTAAATGTTTAATTGCTTTGTACTAAAATGTACAAACAAAATATTTTGATAGTAATATGTTTTTATATGATGCATTATAGTTATTAATTATTGATCATTTTAATAATTATGTATCCCCTTTTTTTTTTAATATCAATTGAAAGTTAGGTTATTATCAAAATAGCAGATATAAGTTGAAATCTGTAAAAAAAAAAATCAAGATATTAGGTTAATTTACTAAAAAGATAAAGGTCATAAAATAATTAAATCAAACTACTTAAGTATTATTTCTATAACTACATACAATTAGAATTAGGATATTAGCATTCCATTTTGTTTATTTGGTGAGAGAGCATTTCCATTTGGTAAAGTAGGTGAATTTTGACTACCATTTGCAACATTATTTATACTAGTAATAGAACTTGAAGGTAATACATTAAAACAGTTTCCTCCAGACATAAGTTCCAAAGCACGGTATAACAACAAATAATTTTCCTAAAATAAAAATAAAATAAATATTTGACTAAATAATATAATTCAATTTTAATTACTATATCTTTCCAAATTCCTGGTCTTTGATTGTGATAAAGTTTGGCGTATAATGTAATATCTGCTAAGTTTTCATGCTGTAGTTGTTTACCAATAGTGGTTAAACAGCAAAATATTGCTGCATCTGTTCCACCAAATCTATAATGAAATAAAATATTTAAATAACTTAATTAATTTATAAAATTCTTTTAATTTAAATTATTTGATAAAAGTTCTTCAAGAAAAATAAAATAAATTGAATATTTCAAAATGTATTTTATTATAACTATTATTAATAAAAATCTATCGAAACTTTGTTAAGAAAATGTGCACACATTTATTGCAAAACAGATTAGATTATTTTTTAGAGACCAAGAGGAGGTTAAATATGCATTGTTATATAGTAATATATTGATTTACTAAAAAATTTAAGTATCAATAATATAAATTCTTATTTTATCAAATGCACACATATCTTTATTTGCTTGTTTACATAAAATTACATCTATAATACAGATAAAATTTACATCAACTAAAAATATATAAAATAAATGTATGTACAAAACCAATAAAAATGTAAATAAGCAATTAGAATAACTTTTATATCAAGAAAACTAAAACTAATTATTTTACTTGAAATCTAACTTAATGGCAAAAAAAAAAATTATAAGCGTTTTTAAACAAGGACCTATTTCAATGTTACAAAACAAAATTAAATAAGTATCTAAGTCAATATTTTAAACTTTATAAATATGTAAACAATATTTTTGTATGAAATAAACATTATCATGCATGGTGAACTTTATGATTTATATGAAATTTTACAAATAATTTATACATTTTTCCTTGTATTAAAATTAGAAATTATTGTCAAAAAGATAAAACTAATTAATATTTAATTTTTGCGTGAGGAGTAATTATCTGTGAAAAGTAAAAACTTACTTGTCCACTACAATGATAGGTCCATTTTGATATTCTAAATGCCACATTTGTACAATTTCTAGTAATTTGATCAATGAAGATAATTCTCTAACAGAATATTTACTGTGTATTAATCTAACAGGAAGCATAAAATCATCCTGTACTGACTGAATTACAAGATCTCTTGTTTCATAATCATTTCCTATTTTATCTTCTTGAATACTCTTAACTTTGAAATTATCACTATCTAAAGTTGTAGTAGAATCCACGGGCCAAAATGTAACAAGTGAGTCCTATTTATATAAAAAAAACATACACTTTTAATATTTTTACATATGAAATTTAAAATGTAAATATAACAAACCGAATCTTCACTCATATCAGTTAGTATAACAACTGTCTGTGCATTATGATCCCAGAGCATTTGCCAGAAATCTAGAATGGTATTTTGTAGAGGATGTTGTGTCACTATAAATTCACCTAATCGTCTAAAGCCTGAAAAATTAAAATTACATACATTTTAAATTATTTATTATAATGTTTAAATAACATGTTATCTTTCAGTTATTTTTTAAAATATAATTTAGAATATGATTACAATTTTAAATCAAATGAGAATTTTAAATGACTAAAATACCAATTCAAGTAAAACCAAATATAATAAATCATTAGAGCATAAAATAAAACATAAAATTTAATTTATTTTCCTTAACCAGAAGTTATTTATGGAAGTTTTACTATATAGATATTAAAAACCCTAGAAACATTTTTAGTAAATAATTTTAATAAACCAAGAAAATTTTTTTGTTTTATATTTGTGGTTTTTAATATTAAAGTAAAAATATGCAAGTTATATTTTTGAACTATATGCTCAACAAATTTAATAAATAAATAATTTGATAAACTATAAATAACATTTTTAAAATGTGTACAATAATGTAATTTTTGTGCAACTCCGTAATCAATAATGTTAATGCACTATCTCTATACACTATCAGAATTATAGTAAGTTGTATTAGAATTAACAAATACTTTGAAAAATCGTAAATGAGATTTAAAATAAAATGAAAAATGAAAATAATCACATAATTATATCATATATATATTATTTAAATATGAAATAATTATGTTATAATTGTTCACTATGTATAATAAATAAAATAATTATTCAGCTCAAAATTAAAATACAATAATAAAAATAGATATTACTTGTGATTTAATTTTATTAGTAATTCTACTTTAATTTTTGATGACATAATTAAATAACTCTTGAGTTAGAAATAAAAAACATCACTAACATCATAGTATATAAATATTTTAAATTCAGCTTTACAATAAAATTCAAATATTTACCAATAATCCATGATGCATTAATATAATCACTTCCTTCAACTCCTGGTTTTGGTGTTAAATGCACTCGGGAATTTTCAACAGGGATAAATTCTTGAGATCTGTTTTTATTTCGATTAAATGGTTTATTTGCCGAAAGTAATAAATATTCTTGTGGGATAAATGAAGTTATCATCTAAAAGGTGCATACAAATAATATTCAATAAAAATGTTAAGCAATGTAATAATACATTTTAAGTATATTTTACCTTGTAATGTTTTTCAAAATCAGTTGCAAAAGATGCTATTTTACAATCAGATATGTCTGTTTGGAGATAACTTTTTAAGGTTTTTTTATTAATACTAGCATGCATACAATTTATAGCTTCTAACAAAGCATCATGGATAAATATATATTGTTCTTCAGTTTGAACTAAAAAATTACGTTGCTGTCTAATGTGCTTTAAAAAATCAAATATATTCACTTCTTTTTCACTTTTAATTTGTTTAAGCATAGTATCTAATACAATGTATGTACCAGTTCTACCAACACCAGCACTATAAAATAAATATTATGATCAATATGTAAAAACTTTAAAATTAATTTATAACTGACCTGCAATGAACAACAATAGGACCAGCTTCAGGTGGATTAGCTCCAGCTGATTTATTTACAAAACTTAAAATTGGTAAAGGATGGTCAGGTGTTCCATGATCAGGCCAATTAGTGTAATGATATTGGTATATAGTTCTACCCAAGGGCGAATTCTTTTTCTTTTTAGCCTAAAAACATAAATATTTAAAATAAACTGTCAAAAAAAAAATTATAAAAATATTACCCTTATATGTTGCACTTGAAATGTGCGAACTGTATACATAGCCATTAGTTCTTCTTTTAATAATTTAACTTGAATAAAACCATATGTTTCTATAACTTCATTAGGCCAATATAAATCACATTTTCTCTAAAAAAAAAAAAATAGTAACTTTTAACAATTTTTCTTTCGATAACCGTGTCTAAAAGAATACATTTTTTAGAACATTTAAATTTAAATTTATTCAAAATTATAGAGAATTAACTTTTCTGTTCAATTATACAATATTAATAATACAATTTATAAATATGTTAATAAAATAAAATAAAATTACCCGACCGCGTTCTACTAAATTAGTTATCATCACAATAACATGCACATGCTGTTCCCAAATCATTTGCCAAAAATCAATAATTGTCGATGGTAATGGGCCTTGTGTACCAATGTATGCATTAGCTTTTTCAAAACCATTAATATAATTTGCATTGATGTAATCAGAATGACTTCCTTGCATACTGTTCACATGAAGTTTAACTCTACTATGATCATCTATATATTGCAAAAATAAATTTAAGTATATTTAATAAATAAATTGTTAATAAAAAATATTTTTTAAATATTATTATATAAAAATTATATAATTGTAATCTCACAAGGAACAATATTGAGGTATCGATTTTTTGATTTATTTTCTGGTAATTGTGATGCTTCAGTGGAAAAATCAAAATTCATAGACTCTTCCTGAATGATTTCATATTCTTTACTAAAACCGATATCCCCATCAACATGTAAACTAGCAACATGCCTTGCAAAATCATCCACTGTTACAACATGTGATTCTTCTTTATGTTTCCACCAATCAGAATTTGGTAATGTTGGTACAGTATATGATACAAATGGTGGATCCTCCAGATAATAATAAGCTGCATGAAAGTATACCCTACACACAGGATGGCATCTATTGTACAAAACATTTATTTTGTGTTACGTGTAAAAAATCACACTCATATTGTAAGCTATGGTGATGAATAATTTAACGTGTACATATACAATAATAATAATTAATTAAAAACACTTACTGCCAAAATAATACAGCAGCTACAATGAAAAGTAATCCAAATACACAACATAAACCAATCAAAAGTGATTTTGTACTTTCAATAGTGGAATGATTGTTTTTTAAACTAGGTATGATATCACAATCCTTATGCAAGTATACTGAACGAGAATCAGAACCTTGACCTTCAATTAAATTAGTGCTGAGATAACTATGAGTCGCTCCAAATATTCTTAATTCATACATTGTATTGTCTGTTAAGTTGTTAACAGTATATTCATTATACTGTAAAATAACCAAAGTTCTACAATTAATTTAATAGATTTTTTTATAATAATAAATAGCAATAATATTAAGAAAGTTATAATTTACATACATTTAAATTTAGACCAACTTTTGGTGATAAAACAGTAATGTTCTTTACAAAATTAGGTTCTGTAATATGTATAATATATTGATCAACAGATTTATAAAAATGTTCAGGTGAAGCCCATTGTAAGAAAATAGATGTTCCACTAGTTCCTGGTATACATGTAGCATTCATAATTATTGGAGGACCTGGGCCTTCAACATCAGTGAATTGAGTTATCATATTCGAACGTTCACTAACTCTATTTTTTTCGCCTTTAGCTTCCAGGTATATCTGATACTCAGTAAAAGGTTCTAAAAATTCACGAACACAAATAAGTAAATATATAAATGAAATAACATAAGTAGCTAATTTAACAACTATAATTAAATAATTATAGTATTTTATAACTTATAACTTATAAAAATATAATATAATCCTATTTTATATAATTTAAATATAATCAGTAACTATAGCCTAAATCAATTAATTTCAAGTTAATTTACACTATGAGAACATATTAAATTTAATTATATAGAACAATATCGTCAAGCAATATAGTATATTGAGAAATATCAAAATTGTAATGATATGTTTACATTTGTTTGTTATTTTTAAAATCTTAAAGTTTACATAAATAATAAATAAATCTATGTTAAAAAAATTATCATTTAAAATTAAATTCATCAATTATGAAAAACAATCGTTAAAGGTATTCATTTAGATTACGCAAATGTATAATTTTCGGATATAAAATACATATTTATAAATATTAATAAAAACTATAAATTATAATTTGATTAAGCACTGTGATTTTATAAGCTAAACTATGTAGCAAAATTAAAGTCAGGAAATTTTCTAATTTCTGTTTTGTGTTCATTAAATTTTTCAATCTCAATTTTTAAATTAAAATAGATTGTTCCACACAAAATTGTATTGATACATGTACATGATAATATTTTCATGTTTTCAAAAAGATTAAAGCCAACAAATGTCTTCAAAATTCTAATTGTTGTATTAACCGATTAGATTACAACTTACATTATAACTTAAAAAATTACTTATTTACAATTTATAGTTATAATTAGATTAGAAGCAAGTATATTTTGAAATATCTGATAAAATATAACATAACATATACTTAATATTTATAATTATATATATTATAACATTTTATATTATATGCTATTATATTATAATATTTTATACTTTTCGGTTAAATTATATTACAAGGAGTGTGTCAGTTAAAAATCATTGTTTGGTAATTTTTGATTTAAAACTATGAAGAGGAATCAGATTATTTAAAAATATAACTATTGCTTTTCTTAAATTATTTAATTAAAACACATATGGATTAATATATTTTATTTAATCTATAAAATTGAAATAATAATCAAAAATATATAAATTATATAAAAATTTTTTATTCAAAACAACAAAAATACCTAATATACATAACATTTAATTTGAATTGCTTCTTTAAATATTCAAACATTTAAAAAAATTTAGAAATATTATAAAGAGAATACACAAAACAACAAAAAGTTTTTGATAAATAATAATAAAATTATTTATATAACTAATTAAATTAAAATTGATCAGATACAAGTATATGCATGTGCATATATACATAAACTTTTTTTTTTTTTTTTTGAGAATTTAGTAAGTAAAATTGGTACTACATAAACTATAATAATAATATATACTATATACTATAATAATATAAATATATAAATAATTCTTTGCTTCTAGTTATAACTTCAAAGTTAATATTTATTATATTGTTATAAATTATCTGATAATAATTTTATAATATATAATAAACCAATATAAATTTTAATTAATTTTTGTAAACTCACATAATACTGAAAATAAAACTATCATATTAGATAATATCAAATGATATAGACTTGGATACATTTGGGTAATTTATATTCTTAAAATTCAATACCCCTTAGCCTAGCAAATATTTGCAATAAAAATCTTAAGACTCCTAAAACTGATTCAATATGAACAAAATTTTAGTACTTTAATAGAATCAGATGCAATATTCATCATGAGCTATATTATTTTTTAATAAAACAAGTTCAAATATAATTTACAATAATTACAAAACTATAATTATTTGGTTATGCAATATAATAATAATTATTATAATACATTAATATTGTTCAGTTAAACTTTTAAGGGTTATCAAAATAACAGAAACAAATAATTGACTTATACATAAAATTAAATCAAGCTTAACATGCTAATATAGATAATGAAGGAAAAAATAAATTAGCAATAGATAGAAATTTGTTCAATTACACAGTTATATTAAAAATAATTTACTTCTTAGTGTTCAAAATAAATTAAACACAATGATACTTAATATTGTTGGTTTTGATACATTTTAAAAAATAAATTTCTTTTAATTATTTATCATTACTTTTTAAAATAACAAATGTACATCTTTTGAAAATCAATTATTTAATGCTCACAAAAAATTGTATAATGAGATTGTAATATTTTAATACCTATAAAATAATTTATCATAATACATTATTATTATTTAGATATGAATTATAATATAAATAATTAGCTGTCATTTAGAGTAATACTTTAAGATAAGAAAATAAATTACCATCATTTGGAATAAATACATTTTGAAAGTAACAGATAACCTTGAAAATAATAAGATAAATAAAAAATAAGATTCCAGAGATCAAATTCTACTATATAAGCAAAATAAAAATAGAATGGGCAATTACAAAAAAAAAACTGTAAGCACCAGCTGGACAAAAATAACTTAAATAATCCTTGACATAACCAAGATTCTATAAGCTAGTCAGTACTAATAATGCATATAAAATTAGTCACAATAACTTAAATTACAAGTTAGGTCCCTTCAAATATACTTTAATATTAAATTGCATATTATTTTTTATCCTCTCTCTACAAATTATACATGTATTTATCGCATAAATATATAAACTATACATTTATAAATTAATAAATAATAAATAAAACAGCTTATGTATAAAAACACAATTATTGAATTAATTAGACAATTTTTTTATTTCAGTTCAATTAATACACTAAAATAATTAAAACTTAAAATTAATCATTCAAAAATTTTATTTTATCGAATCATTATATTTTGTTACTTTAAATACTCTTAAAAATGTTTATAGTATACATTAATTAAACTGTATTCGTAGGCCAGTATTTAAGGGGAGGGGGCACAGGTAGGCACATGTCCAGGGACATCAAGTCTCAGAGGCGACAAAATTAATTTTTAAATTGATGTACCTAATGAAAAAATAATATAGTATGTTTTATTATGTAATAATTTGTAAATTAAAAAAAAAAATTGTATTTTTATTAAATTATAATTTGATGATTAAAAAAAGTATTAAACGATTTTCATTTATAAGTGTTATATTATTATTATTATTAATTTTTTTGGGGGGAAGGAGGCATAAATTATATGCCCAAGAGCACCAAATTTTTAAATACGGGCCTGAGTATTCGATAAGAATCAAGTATTTCAATTGGTCAAACAAATTTTTGTTAAATTTTAATATACTTATATAATCTTGCTTTACAAATACACTAAAATTATTTTTGATAAATTCAAAATAAAATATGTTGTTATGTTCATAAATTAATCAGGTAATTTATAATACCGGTTTTACATTAAAAAATAATAATAGCCAGTAGCACACAAATTTAATAAATAAAAACAAAATATATTTTAAATTATATTATTTTTATAAAAAATGAAAATTATGATACATTATTATCTAGAACATAATAATAATAATTATGATTTTTATTAATATTTATTTAATAATATAAAAATAAAATCTTTACTACCAGCAGACAGACTTTAAGTGTACATTAATAACACCTGACAATAGTAAAATAATAGCAGTTACATATTCATAAAAATGTGATAAGTTTATTATTAATGGCATAAGGTAAACTACGAATTAGTGCAAGATTATTTAAATATAAAGGATAAGTAAAACACACCTTTAACCATTTGTTAAATAATTAAATATATTTTTATCATTATAGTAATTGAAAAGTACTAAAATAATTTAAAATAATAAAAAGAAAAACGTTATATGATAAAGTACACTAAAACAAATATATAAAAATTTAATGACAACAATATAACAATATAAATATTATAAATTATATCATTAATGGTTTATTACTTGGTATAAAGTTTATTATAACACAGAAAAATAAAATAAAAACAATAGAAAAAACTCAATCGCTTGCTTTTTAAAAAACATATCCAAATCTACTTAGAATAAATGACAAGAGTATAATTTAGATCAATAGTATGGTGTTCAGAATTTTAATCAAAACCTATACAATAATCAAGTTATTATTTAGGATTCTTTCTTTCTAATTATATCATATAATTTTTATATACTCATGTATTATTATATCAATGGCTTATTTAAAATTAAGAAAACATATTTAGTATGGTAAAAAAAATAAAAAGTACTAATATTAAATAAATAAAATTATATTATTATTGTATTAATTACTTATCAAAGAATAATAAATTATAGGTAAAAAATATTTATTATGTTCATTCCATTGATTTTTGTTAATTTAAACAGACTTATTCATAACAATTATAATAATAATAGTTATTTACTTACCAAGATTAGGTATTGTAAACGTATTAATATTTGCAAGTGGCTTTATATATGTACTGTTACCATTTGTATAATAAAGGCTATAATTCATTACTGCAGCTATACCATCACTTGGTGCAAGCCATGTGATTGTAATTGATCGACTTGTTACATTAACAACACTTAAATTTTGTGGCTTGCTTATAGTAATCACTAAAAAAAATATTTATATAAAATTACAATTTCTATAATCTATTATTAACTATTATGTATGTAGATAAGAGATTATTTTTCTGACTGTAGCACATTCTACTTAGTCTACAGTTTTTTTTTATTAAAACTCAGAATTAATCTATTTTTCTTTCATTTTTTAAGTTAATACAATTTAAAATAGAATCCAAACAATAAAAAACATTTTAATCAACCACAACTTAAAACACTAAACGCTAAACATAAAGAACCTCTAATAAAATAAGGATCAAAAATTAAAATTGATATTTAAAATAACAGTCAAATCATATTATCAAAAATATCTATTAAATTTTTCAATACTCTAGATCCAAATAAAGTTGTTCATATGTCCTCAAAAATGTATCCATTATTTAACATAACAATCCACAATACAATTTTTAATGTAAAAACTACCATTCATATTTAGATTTAGTGAATAATTGATTACAACAATTATACAGATACGAAAATTAAGTATAAATCTAATAACCTATAGGAATATTTTAATCTCAAATTATTGAATATCTTATACCTATCAAGCATTGTACTGGAATTCAAAAGGTTAATTTCCATTGTATAAATATCAAGAGTTATTTTATCAATAATAAAATAGTAATAATATAACAACCAGTATAGACAATCAAACATTAAAAACAAATGTGGAATAAAGATCATCAAATAAAAATATGCCCATCAAAGTACTTGAATATAAAGTTTAAACAAATAATTCTGAATCAAGAAAATATATCATAACTTTTAATGAATAGTAAATCATTACATTTTTAATACTTCGAAGTATTTATCAATATGAAAATAAATTACTTGCATACTGCGATATCTGCTTTAAAAGCTTGTAGATTATAATTATTTTTATAGTCGTAACTAAAAAACTTATTTTTCGCACACCTTACATTACATTAAATATAATAACCTAAAGCACGAGTTCAACCTAATATAATAGTCATACTGTCAAATTACTATACATATGATGAATGGACTACATCGATCATAATATAACACTACTTACCTGGATGCAAGATAGCCGTAGTAGTGGCGGTCGCGACAGTAGTGGTGTTGGGGATGGTGGTAGTGGTGGTGATCGTGGTCGTTGTAATGTTGTTGGATTGTGCTGTTGCGCGTCCGATGCAAAGGTACAAGCAGTTGGGACACGAGAACAAGACGAGGCTCAAATACCATGTTGCTATCCACATCTCCCGAACAATATGTGCGTACTACGGGGCGGCACTGCCGAGGGTGTGTTGACGACGCGGCGAGACTAGCGAGCCGCGGTTGTCGCTGTGTTGCCTGGTTGCGGCGGTGACGGACGAATGACGCGGAACGTGTTCATTGTGTCCGGCGATCAGCGGGCCGCGGCACGCATTCGGACGGACGCGTTTAGCCGGCACGACAGCCGCACGGAAACGCAACGCAAATCGCGTAGCGCGTTAACGGAAGGCGACGACGGCGGCGACGGCGACGACGACGACCTGACGACTGTGGTGGTGGTGGTATGCATCAAAATCGAAAGTGAACAATACGAACGGAGTGATCCACCGCGAGAGGGACGGAACCCTGACGAACCCCACGGTGGAGGAGTCGGATACTAAGCGGCGTTGAGCGAACGAGCAGCGGCTCGCAATTGTGGAAGCCGCGGATCGTAGACTGTTCGCTGTTGTAAGCCGCCTGACTGTACAGCGTTAGCGATAGCTTATCAGCTTATCAGCAATATCAACGCCATCGCCGCGGAGGTACCTGCCGGCGGGGGACGTGGCGTTCGCGCACGCACGCGCTTGTGCACACGCCCCGACTGCGTTCGGTCGCCGGTCGCCGCCGCAGTACATGGATATTGTCGCCATCGCCGCCGTTCAGGATTGATGCTCGCGGACGGACGGACGGCGGCGGCGGCGGTGGCGGGCCCGACAGTGTGACCCGAATTGCCGGTCTTGCTGGTCTGTTGCCGCCGCCCGTCATATCTGTTCTGCGCGGGCGGCAATGGCGATGTTTAGCCCGTCGTCGGCAACAACGATTTTATAATGTTACGCATCGTTGCCCGTGAGTGGGATTTGTCGACGACGGTTTTCGCAGCGGAGAATTTAACGCGATTAGGAGGTACGCGGGTCGCCGACGAAAATCAAAGTTTACTAGGTAGTTATTATCAACTTCCAAAACGTTGTGGTGCCGTAGTTCGAAAATGTTCGACGGGAAACAAGGATATGGAGACGAATTGATTTTCAATGTTAAATTGAGTAACCCCAATCCCTAAAATAAACATCGAACCATGGCGTGACATTGGGATTTCGTTTCGCCACCAACTCGCACGCGTACCTAAAACTTGTACGTTTTACATTACAAAACATAATGGCCTTGATGAAAATCTGTGTATCAACTGAATCATAAAAAATCTATATACATAATTATAAACATTTAAGTACAATGATAATGTTGATCGGGGGCGGCTGGCAGATCGGGAGAACGGGAAATTTCCCAATGAGTCGGGCCGAAAGTCGAATTGTGAGGCCCACGCCACAAAATTCATTGTTCAGTTGTAATATCTTTTTTATTTTTTTTTGCCGTTTTTATAATATAATAATAATTTTGTTTCATTTAAAATCTATAAATTATAAATAATTAATTTATAATAATGCCCAAATTACTTAATTTGTCACACTAAGAATAATTATTAAAACTCTTCACTTGTCACTTTGATTCCTTAGTAAATAAGTCAATAAATAATTTTTACTATGTATTTATATTGTGTGTTATCGTTCATGTTTTGAATATTTAACTAAAAAATGTGTGGTATTATAACATAAATGTTGAAATAGAGCAATAAGACTAATAATATAACAATGGTTTTCAGGATGCTTAAAAAAAATTCCCGGGCCGCAATGAAGGAGTCGTCCGCCCCTGATGTTGATAGTGATAGAATAATTTAACTTGCTCCTATTTAGCGAATTAAGTCATCTGTTCAATTGTAAAAGAATTTTACTATTTAACGAATTATATTAATTATAGGAATTCTATATGGCACATACCATATACGAACTCAGTTCAATTGGTGTATTGTGTATCAGCACTTATCATTGTCATTATAATTTAATTAAGTTAATAAGTTTAGAATGGCGCTAAATTAAATAAATAAAAATGTTTACAGTGAAAATGTTAACGCGTCCCAACCATTGGTAATTAAAAACAAATAATCCGTCGAGCTTCTATATACTTGTTTGCAGTCGTTATTTGTGCGTCACTACCATAGGTTTCGACTCGTTTTCATCAATGCATTTTTTATCAAATGGATTTCCTATCAAATTTGGTTATAACATTGTGATTATCTGATTTATGAAACAACAATATTTTCTGTGGACGAATGATATTGAATTTCGTAATAAAATAGTTATCAACTTTAATCGCCATTTCCGTCGAGACACAAAATACTTCAACTACATAAGCATTGATTTTATTAAATGTACACAGATATTGTATAATGCATTATAAAACCATTGCTATTAGAAATAAATAATAAGCAAAGTAGAGTGAAATTTGCATAATTTTATTTGATCATATCTAGAGATTCATTTGAAACAGAGAAAAATCATGTATAGACCATCAGTGTTACATTTTTAATAGTATCAATGAAAAAAAAAAGTATATTAAACGAATTGAGTAAATTGTATACTTTATAACTGTCACGCGTTAAAGAAAAATTCCGTCATGATAATATATTACTCATAGGTAATATGTATTTATGTGACTTTGGAGCTATAACTGATGAGCATTGATACATCCGTTAGTCGTGAAGTTCGTTAGTCCGTTAGTCGTAAATGGTATGTATGTGTAGCCTACACAGTGTAGGTGATGTAGTCACTTTCATATTTTTCCGTTGCGTCATTTTTTCATGTGAACAGTATTTATATATCTGTCATATATTTACATTTATATATGCGTGTTACTTTATTATATATCTTTATATGGGTAGGTACTACAAATGTTGAAATGTATGAAATGTAGGTGTTTAATTATACTACAAGAATATCTATTGGTTATATTGCGGAATAGCTGTTCACGAATGTATTTAGAAATCTTAGATCAATGGGAAAATTTTCTATAAGTGTAATTTTTGACAAATTTAATTTAAAATTGGTGTAACTGATAGCTTTATGTAATTTAATAAAAACAGTTATAAGTATTGGAAGGAAATGTCTTATAAAGTTGATGTATATTAGTTCTCTGCATAATTCGGTCTTATCGTAAAAAAATTGGTGAAGGATTGGTTCGGTCCGATTCCATATTTTTATGAAAAATGTCAGTCCGGTTAAACTATAATCATTTCAGTTCAATCCGGTTTTTCAAATATAATCAGATCGGTTCGGTTCGAACCAGTCGGTCCCGAATTGGTGATTACGGCTCGTTTAAAATCCATTAAACAATGATTTTAAATTTTTAAGAAATTATTTATAGAATTAATAACACGTATATAATCATAAGAATCAATATTTTGTTGTTTTATGTACTTTGTTAGTAGGTATACAGCTTGGTACCTTATTAATAATAATTATTATATATTATTTATACTCGTAATTTTTAATATTCAAAAATTTCACAAGTCAACATTTTTTTAGTTCGAATCGTATTTCTGTTCTTTTAAATTATATATTCGGTTTAGTTTGATCTGTTAATGATTACAGTCCAAAATTCATTTGTTCAGACCGACGGACCAGTCTCGGTTCACTTTAACAAATTATTTTAAATTTTCTGTCCGGCTTTGTCTAAAAAGAAATTTAGCAATCGGTTCGGTCAAATTTTCGATCTTTTATTAAGATTTTCAGTCCAGTTTGATCCCTAAAATTACGAGCCGTACAGAGCTCAAGTGCATAAGGCACATAATAAAAATACAAGTACGTAATTGAGTTGTGAATTTAAAGTTATTTTAAATAATTTCGTAATATTTATTCTGCATAATTTCAAAAGCTGAATGTCCTCCTTTCATTACCTATATTTTTTAATTTCTAGTCTGCGCTATTACTCATTACTCAAAAAAAATATATATTATTTATTCATTATCAATTTTACATCATATTCGTTCAAATCCGTGATTCTCAACCGGTATGTCGTGACACACTAATGTGTCACGTATTATCGTGTCGCCAAAATACAATTAAAACTGAAATTTTTATATATAATTACAATATTATGATAAAATATTAAAAACCAAAGATAAGAAAACAATTATTTAGATATTCTTATTAATTCTTATCTTATTTATTAGAAATATAATCAAATACAACGTAAAAAATCTAAATTTTATAAATCTCAAAATGATCCATTTTTGATTTCTCTGTAAAACGAATATGCCGCAATAAGCAAAAAAATATTATAAATTTTGTATCACAAATATCGCACTAATTTCTTTATGAACTAATATTGTTTTTTATGATTTATTATATTTTTTTCAATTGTTTAAATTTTAATTAAATAAATTAAATTTTTTTTTTTAAAAAAATACCAACGTATGTTAATATATTAATGTATTAATTTAAAAAGGTTTGTAATTTTTAGATTCGAAAATCCATCAATCGTTTCAATTATGTCGCCATTTTTATGAATCTCAATTAGGGTGTTATCCTAAAAAAAAAGGTCGAGAACCGTTGGTTTAAATTATATAATATATAACTTAATAACATAATAGCTTATGTAGGAAAGTATACTTATAAATAGTACAAATTATAGATACCAATGAAACGGATTAACTTTACTCAGAGGCAGATTTCTCATTAGTCACTATAGGTAGCTAGGGTGGAAAATTCTATAGTGTTTTATTAAAAAACATCAAACGTATGGAAAAATATTGGTAAATTAATTGCATTTACGAAAAAAAGATTGCATAATAATGGTTGCATTTTATTAATATGTTACCGTTAATGTTTTATGTTAATTTCGGGGAAAAATAAATACCCACACTGCCACACTATAATACTATTTCGACTGTATATTAATAATCCTATGATGTTATTATGAAAAACTATTATATTTAACTGTTTATAATAGTGTTTATTAAAATGTAATGGACATATGGACATCCATTGACATTTTTTTCATAGTAGACTAATTAATAAAAGCGAAAAAAATAGTCTAAACATTCAAATGGATGTAGATACATACGTTTATATATATAATATTTATATTAGGTATTTTGGAAGGGATAATATAACTTCTTCACCTATTAAAGGGATGGAAAATTGTTGGTGCCTTTAGCCGTAAAAAAGATAAATCCACCTCTGACTATACTTACACTTCTGGCCATATAAGTTTAGGTAAAATTACTACATTTATATATTTTTTTGTAGGAATGAAGTATAAAAATGATAAATAATGTAATTGTGAAACCATGCATTCCTTTCTCCACTTGAAATCTAAAATAATAGATACTTATCTATTATTTTTTGTTATTTTTTTATAGCATTCTTAATTCTTGATAATTTTTTATTGGTTAGGTATAATATTATTATTTTTAATAAAACTTCAGTTAAAGTATAAGATTTTTTTATTTTGAGTTACTGTATTAATTTATTATCAACCTTAATATTAATTCTTAAAAGATAACCTTATATTTTACAAACAATATTTGTTCAATTATTTTTGTCCTTTAAATTATTTTTGAAATATAATAAGACCGGTAACGATGTAATTTTGATATTATCACGAGTAAAAAAGTAACTATACTTAGAGAAAATATATTTAATGTTAATAATTTGTTTTTAGTTCTTTGTTT